GGCGCCGCCGCCGCCGCCGCGCTGCGCCCGCCGCTCTCCGCGCCGCGCCGCCCGCTCAGCTCCGCGGCCCCCCGCGCGCTGCTGCCGCCGCCCGCCGCCGCCGCACCGGCCCTGGCGCGCTCGCTGTGGCAGCTGGGCGGCGGCGCGGGGCGGACGGCGCTGCTGCGGCCGCGGCGGGGCTCGGCCGGGCGCGTGTCCTGCGGCTGCGGCGGGCTGCACACCGAGGGTGAGCGGGGACGGAGCGGGGCCGCCCTTGGGAGGGCGCGGGGAGGACACGTGCGCTGCTCCCGCTCCGTTCTGGGAAGCACGTGGGGCGGGGGGGGCTCTCTCTACTGCCCCTCTTTCCCTGACCCCCCTTCTTTCCTTAAGGCAACCCCACCTTTCCCTAATCCCCGTTTTACTAAACCACCTATTTCCCTAAATCCCTTAGGTCATCACCTAAGCCCCCTTTTCCTCTATACCCCTTTCGCTACCTCCTTTTTCCCCTACTCCCCTTTCCCTAACCTCCTTTTTACAACTCCCTTTTCCCCAATCCCCCTTTCCCTAACCCCTTTTTTTTTGTTCAAACTCCCATTTCCCCAAACTCCTTTTTCCTACCTGCCCTTCCCTTAACCCCACTCCCCTTTTCCCTTACCCTCCCTTTTCTTACTCCCCTCTTTCCTTACCCTCCTTTTCCCTAAACCCCACTTTTCCTATCCCTCTTTCCCTAACTATCCATTCCCTAACCCCGTTTTCCAACACCCCTTTTCCCTGAACTCACCCCCCATCCTTCATCCCTCCCTTTCCCTAACCCCATTTTCTTTTCCCCCCAGGTGACAAAGCCTTTGCGCAGTTCCTGACGGACGAGATCCAGGAGGAGAAGAAGATCCAGAAGCACAAGTCCCTGCCCAAGGTCTCCGGGGGGTGGGAGCTCGAGGTGCACGGCACGGAGGCCAAGCTGGTGCGGAAGATCGCGGGGGAAAAGTGAGTGGGGTGCGGGAAGGGTCCTCAGCCCCCGAGGGTGGGTGGGTGGGTCACAGTGACCAGGCTCCTCCCGGTGCTCACAGCCCAAACCGCGCCCTGCAAAGGCTCTTGGTGTGACCACTTTGGGCCAAAGGCACTTTTTTCACACCTTTTTGTTACTGTGTTTTGTGTTACAAAGTTTCACGTGGTCTTCCTGTTTGAAAAATAACAGTTCGGTAAAACTTTAAAAAGTGAGGGCACTTGGAGGGAGCAGCTTCTCCCAGGTGTGTCTTTTGACTGCAGTGCCTGGTTTTGTTCACACACTGTGTGAATCCTGAACCAGGGCTTAAAAGGCCCGTTCTGATCGGCATTTTTTGGGATGTGTTCAAAAGAATTGTTTCTTTTTCTTGTGCAGGATAACGGTTACATTCAACATCAATAACAGCATCCCACCCTCGGCTGAAGAGGACACGCAGGAGCAGCAGAAACCTGATGAGCAGGAGGTGACTTAGCCTTGATGTGCATTTAATGCTGGGGACACAGATGAAAAATGGAATCTTCCCTTAGGGGAGTTGGAGCCTTGTCCTCAAGTGCTGAGGCTTTTTCTCCCCCTTGTGTGATATTTGGGAGCTTTAAGTCACAAAATCCAGATTTTCTAGGGCTGCCTGTCCCTTCCTCTCTGCTGCAGAAAGGCAGAGATAAGGAGAAATTTAGAGGAATTCTGAGACTTTCTAGCACCTTCCAAAAGGATGTGCAGGAGAGTGGGAGAGGGAAACTCTGTACAGAGGAATGGAGTGACAGGTTAAGGGGGGATGGCCTTTAACTGGCAGGGAGTGGGGCTGAATTGGGGGATTTGCTCCCTGTGAGGGTGGGGAAGCCCTGGCACAGGGAGTCTGTGGCTGCCCCATCCCTGGAAGTGTCCAAGATGAGGCTGGATGGGGCTTGGATCAACCTGGGATAGTGGAAGGTGTCAGGGAATACCCAGTGCTGGCTGGGCTGTGCTGTGGTTGCTTTGGCTCCTGTTCAGATTCCAGTGCTGATGCAACTGTTCTCTCATTTAGCCTGAACTTACATCAACTCCAAACTTTGTAGTGGAAGTCATAAAAGATGATACAAAACAGACCCTTGTCCTTGACTGCCATTTCCCTGAAGATGAGGTGAGTATCACTGTGCCCCTCTTGGATTTAGCTGCTCTTTGTAATCTCTTGCTTTTCTGAATCAGCAGAGTGCCCACTCTCCTCTTATTTCTTTATTTTTCTTAATCACAAAAAAATAAAAAGGCTTTATGTTGGCAAGAATAGTGGGGAGGAAATGTTTAAGGCATTCCTCACATCCTGCCCTGGTGTTTCTGATCAACTGCTTATTGGGCTCTTCATTGAATTACAGTAAAGAAGTAGGGATTAAAAAAGGAGGGGAGAAAATCAAATGGAGAGCTTTTGCTCACACTGGTATTTGTGGTTTATTTTGTAAATGTCAGGAGATGTTTAACAGCCAGTCTTGGCTGACAAAGATGAGACAGACATGGGAAGACACTTAGAACCACACAGAAGTTGTTTTTATATATTTGTAAAGTTCAGGCTGCTGATTTACATGGCAGCACAAGCTTAGAGGATTTTCTGAGTTCTGTGCATGTCTGTGCTTGTCCTCACAGGCCTGGTGAGAGGGGAGAGGCACAGCTTGTCTGGCCTTGGGGCTTCTCCTGAGCTATTCCCAGCCTGGGGATGAGCTGGCTGAGTGTGCCCACTAATTGCAGCTAATTGCATGCCTTCTATTTGTTTTCCTGCCTCAGATTGGACATGAAGGAGAGGAAGAAAGTGATATTTTCACAATTCGGGAGGTCAGCTTCCAGCCCACTGGAGAAGCTGACTGGAAGGACACCAACTACACCCTCAACACGGATTCCCTGGACTGGGTAGGTGCTGTTCAAGGTCACAGAGGGCTCTCAGCTCACCTCACCTGGCTGTCCCTCTGCTCCTGGCCTGGGAATTCAACCTGTCAGGGTGTCTGAGACAGGGGCTGGCCCTGCTCTGCCCCTGAGCTGCTTGTTCTGCTGCAGACTGAGGGTGTCTCATGGTCCCAGGGTTGTGCACTGCTGGTGGCATTACCAGGAATCAGGACAGACAGGGGGATCTTCTTCCTTTCCAGATTTTATAGGCAGATTTCCCAGCAGGGAATCTCATTCTGGAAATGTTTTGACACTTGTTAAACATCTTTTGATCTGTGTGTTTAACAATGTGGCTTATCAGACACCATGTGTAGGTAAAAGCATCTGTGTGGTATCTGAAAAAATACATTGTGTCCTGGTTTTCCAGGTGTGTTGTTAGACTTGTAACACTAAAAATACGCTCTGCAATCTGTGTGTTCTTGTGTTCTCAATGCCAGGATTTCAAAAGCTACAATTTTTAGTTTGAGGCTGTCATGTTTAAAACTGAAAGTAGAAGTGCTAGAGTGTATCCCCTTGAGAAGCATTCATGTTAAAATTGCTTAGTGTGCTGTAGACCATCCCACACTGATTATTCTTTTTTTCCCCTAAGACATTAAATTAATTTAAAATATGTATGTAAAGGAAAAAGCCAAGTTCATGACTGTAACATTTAAGCCTTTAAAAAAAACCAGTACATCAGATACCTTCCAAAGTGTTAGTTCACCCCTGGGTAGAGGGACAGGCAGAGCTTGGCCTGTGTCATCCTTGACACACTTCCCCTGATGACTCCACAGTCTGGGGATCATCTCCAGGGTGCAGTTCATTTGTAGTGTTGGGTTTGGGTTTTTATTATGTGTTCCATGGCCCTTTCTGTCCAAATGTTCACCCAAGGTCAGGCCTGTCCTCCTGGGGTGGTGCCTTGGGAGGCTGCCTAGAACAGAGGCTAGGCAATGTTAAAGGAATAAAATAGGGATTTATTAAAAGGCCTTAAAGGATACACCTTGGGCAGTACAAGAGCCCAGCCAGGGCTACACCCAAGATGGTTGATGAGTCATGAGTTTTCACACTTTTATAAGTTTTAGTCCATTTCCATATTGGGGTTAATTGTCCAATTCCAGCTCCAGGTTATGCAGTCCCATCCTCCCAGTTTGCTCTCCTCAATTTGCTGTTTGCACTTTTTGGGCCTGAAGCTGCAGTGGTGTCCTTGGTTCTGGGGCTGGAAAAGGATTGTTCTGTGTGACTGAACTGTGAGGAGAACTTGCTGACAATTTATATGAAATTCAGAGTTAAACACTAATGCAGTGCAGAATCTGGAGAATATGAAAGGCATCAGTAGGAGCTGGGCCTGATTTTCCTGGGAGGAAGTGCCAGTTGCCAGGGGACATTTTAATGCCCCCCTGCCCAGGTGTGTTCCACTAAGGAAGGTTTCTGTTCCTTGCTCCAGGCTCTCTATGATCACCTGATGGATTTCCTGGCTGACAGAGGAGTGGACAACACCTTTGCTGATGAGTTAATAGAGCTCAGCACTGCCCTGGAGCACCAGGAGTACATCAAATTCCTTGAAGACCTTAAAAGCTTTGTCAAATGTCAGTAGGTCAGGCTAGGAAACTCAGCCTCAAGTGTGGGTATTCCACAGTGCTGCTTCATCCAGCAATACCCAAAAATATCTTCACAGTGGTTACAGAGAGTAAGTAACTTGGAAGGTGGAGAAGGAGGATGCTCATTTGGATTTGGGGAGTTGTAGTGATGGTGCAGCCCCAATCACGTTCTCCAGTGCTACAGGCCGGAATTGCCTCGCCCTGCATGGGGCTTTTTGTACAATTAAGAGTGAATGTGAAGAATAAAAACTGTTCAACATATCACTGAAAAGGGTGGTTTCTCTTCTTCTTGCTGTACCAGAGCTGCCATGAAAGTGATGGCAGAGTTTCTCTCTGCCAGAGCTGCTCACAGTAGTTGTGGCAGTGATGGTTGAGCACTTCTACTTAAACTGGTACCTCCAATTGCTGTTTGAAGGTTTTAAGTTTATTTAAGTTAGTTAGTTAATTTATTTAAGGTTCATTTAAACTCAAAGCTGAAGTCCAACATAAGCTGTGAGATCACTGATGTAGTATTAAAGACAACACCAAGGCCAAAATAAACTAAATATATATTTATTTCAAAACATGTCCTGTGTGGTTAAAAGTGCAGGTCAAGGCAATCCTGTGCCTTTTGCAGTGTCTTTTTGACACAGCAGTTAGAAATAGTACAAAAGAGTCCTAGCAGCTCTGGGTGAAGTTTAGTATTGAAGTTTTCCAGAAGTAAAGCAGCAGCTGAATCACCTTAGAGGAGAATGATCCAGGAGTCACAGACCTTCACAAGAAAGTTGAACAGAGAACTGTGTTAATGTATAAAGTTCAAAACTATTTGAACAGGAAAAACTATTGACTGGGGGGAAAAAATTCACAAAAAAGGTGTTGAGCACTGGCAGAGGCTGCCCTGGGAAGTGGTGGAGTCACCATCCCTGGAGAGATTTAGGACATCTAGCTGTGGCACTTGAGGACATTGCATAGTTGTGGCCCTGGCAGTGCTGGGGGAATGGCTGGACTTGATCTTAGGGGTCTTTTCCAACTTTACCAATTCCATGGCTCTGTTTGAAATGCTCTGCCCCTACCACTGTCCTCACACTGGTTTTACATAGCAAAGCAAGCACCAGCTCTGGCTTGAGCTAAAGGGCTGCTGTGTGTTCTCTGAGACACCTGGATGAAGTTTTTCAGGAGGTTTAAACAAATAATTTTTAAAACTTTTCTTCAGGAACCACTTATCTGATCAGATTGTGCACACAAGACTTAGAAGATGTTGGCTGAAGTTAGGACACTAAATTTGACAGGTCCTTGAAAAATTCCCTAATCCAGCAGTTAAAGGTGTATACTTTGAAATTTCTCTTTTATGGTTACTGGTGGTCAAAGGTAAAGCCATTTCCAAGGAATTTTGTGAAAAAACAGCCACACAAACCCAGAGATCAACAGACTTGTGGTTTCTACCTATGTAATTGAGCCATGGACCCAAGCAGGGATCCTTTCCAGGAACCTGACATTTGCACTCACAGGGCAGCTCATCAGCAGACTGGCTTCCTCCTCCATGCCACTGGTGACTGTGAACTCGGGGCTGTGCAGGCACCTCTGACTGTGCTCTGTCAAGGTGCTTTCCAGCAGGGACCGAAGCTTCCCTTCTGTCATATCCTGAGAATAATTCATTAAAGGTCAGCTGGAGTTCCTGTCTGTAGCTTAAAGCTGCCTCTGCAGCAGCAGGGATGCCACACACAACGTGTAGTACAGCTCACCTGTGTGCTGATGTGCAATCCACACTGGCAACAAACCAAGTGAGCCTTCACAGTCAGGTTATTCCTGGGAAGAGCAAACAATGAGCATCACGACACCCAGAACAAGGGAAGATCTTAGCAAGAAAAACCCCAAAAACCAACCCAACACCCCCCCATTAGATTCAGATCATTGCTCAGGCATTTCTATGTTGTTGAAATGAACAGCAGCCTCCCTCTGCACATTTCTAAGCCCAGACTGCTGCAGGAGAGTGAGGAATCTGATTCTAATGCCAAAGGCTTTCTTACTTCCTACATACAGGGCAGATGACCCTGTCAGAGGCATCCAGGCCGTCCAGCATGGCATTGAGACATTCCTCATCGAAGCGCAGGCTCCGCTCGTACTCCTCGATGACCAACTGCTCTGCAACAACACAGCACAGCAAAGCACCCTCAGGGCCTGCTGGGCAGCACAGGCAGAGCTGCTGGGCTGATGCAGGCTGGGCTGGATATGAGTTTCTAAGAACTTTTACTCCTCTGGCTCAGGTTTGTACGCTTGGTGAAATCATTCCTGCTAATCCGTTTTTTTTCTGTGGCTCAGCTCGTCTCATATGGGTCTTTCTGATCAGCACTTGAGAAAGATCCTGAATTGATTTATAAAGGTTCCTAGAGCTAACAGATCTCAGTCCTGTTTCTCTGGCCTCCCTCACAGATGTTAAAATGCCACTTAAACTCTTAGAACTGTGAGAAGAGGTCTCAATACCTCAAAGCCTCAACAAGATTTCTAAGGAGGTTCTTGCCCTGTATCACGTGGTTTGCAGGAAACAAGGAGTGCAGCCTCGGCTCTTCTGCATTACCAGGAAGTTACACATCAAACAGGAGTCAGAAGATGTGTAAAGATCTTACCTTGCAAGATCAGTTCTCGTTGGATCTCTTCCAGCACTGCCAGCTCATCAGGGTCCTCCAGCACCTGAAAGGTTAACCGGACAGTGATCCTCCCATTCCAACCACTTTCTCACTTCCAGCACCTGACCGAGCAACACAAATCCACTCTTATTCTCCTGTCTAGTAAATCCCTCTATTTGCAAACCCATGCACTGTGGGAAGCAACCTGTACTGTAAACACAAGTGCAGAGCCAGCCAGAAGAGACCCAAGTACAGCCTGTCCAAGAACTTGCTTTTTAAGACATTGAAGTTTCATTTCCATTCTCAGAAGAGGGAAGTGACAACCAGCTATAAAAAGCACAGATGAGGAAATCAACCCTCTGCTGTGATGCACAGGCTGTGAAGGAAATAAGGAATTTCCCCACTCATGCCCAAAGGCACTTTCACAGCTCAACACCCTGCCCGAGCTGCAGAATAGGAAACCCTGAAGCTCCTGAGTTTTGTTAGCTCCAGTGACAAGTTAAAGTCAGAGCCGCAGGGAGCTGTATTTGATACTCCTGTATCACACACACAGTGTTGAGGCTGGGGACCCAGCACTGACCTGCTCCATGGGCTGCTCTCCGCCGAGGCCGGGAAGCCTGTCCCGCAGCTCCTGCCACTCCTGCTCCATCACCTCCTGCACCAGCAGCGCGCCCGGGGCCGCCCCGCACGCCCCGTCCCCGGCCTGGCGGTAGCGGTCCAGCAGCTTGGCCCGGCTGCTTCTCAGCCGCTCCATGCAGCGCTGCGGGGACGGGAGGGGAGAGCGCCCGGGGCCGTCAGCGCCCGCTCGGGGGGACACGGGGGTACCGGGGCTGGGGGGTGAGACACGGCGGAGGGGCTGCGCCCCACAGGGCCGAGAGATCGGGAATCCCTGAGGGGGACACGGGGGAGGCACCAGGGCTGGCCATGTCCCGAGGGGCTGCGGGGGAGTTGGCTGACAGCTCGCAGCGGGGGTAGCGCCGGGCGCTGGCAGACAGCGTTCGGGACGCGGTCAGGGGAGAGTTTCAGACGCGGCACGGTTTACCCACCCCAGCGGGACCACTGCGGCCAGCCCCGGGAGGACCGAACTGGGTCCGGATGACGAGGGAGTCCACGTCCCCCCCTCGCAACCCGCTCCCCGCTCACCCTGCGGTACGTCTCCCTCCAGGGCGGCCCGCCCGGGCTCTTGTACCGCGCTCGGTGCCCCTGCACCGGCGCCGCCATCGCGCCGAGCCCACAGCACGCCGGGCCCGCGGGGCACGCCGGGAAATGTAGTCCGCGGGCGGCGGCGCCCATTGGCCGCGCGGGCGGTGACGTCAGGGCGGCGCGGCGCGCGGGGCGATGGCGGCCGAGTGCGGCCCGGCGGAGCAGTGGCGCGCGGCGCTGCCGCAGCACGCGCTGTTCGGCCGCCTCCGCGAGCGCGCGCCCGCCGCCCCCCGCCCGCCGCGGCTCCGCGACCTCCTGTGCGGGCTGGGCTCCGACCTGCTGCTCTGGGACGGGCCCGCCGCCGCCCTGCTCGCCATCGGCCTGCGCCGCCTCGGCACCGGCACCGACCCCGCCGCGCTCGGCCGCTACCAGGTGCGGCCCCCGCCTGGCGACGGCGGGAGGGGCTGAGGGGGGATTGAGGAGAGCAGGGGCTGGGGCGGGCGGTGTGAGGGAAGGGGGAGGCTGTGAGGGGATGAGGAGGAGGGGGCTGGGGTGGGGGCGTTTGGGGTGTGAGGGGATGAGGGGCTGGGTGTGAGGGGCTGGGCGGACCGTGAGGGAAGAGGGCCGTGAGGGGATGTGGGGATGTGTGGGGAGTGTTAAAAACGGGACAGAGAGGATGTGGGGGATGCGAGCTGTGAGGGGAGGAGGGCCATGGTGGGCACGGGGCTGAGGGGGTCTGTTCCTTGAAGGAACATCATCATCCGTCAGCCCGCCCTGGGCTGTCCTTCCCCACTGCTTTGTGCTTCATTCCGTGCCGTGTAAATCACCATCCAAAATAAAGATGAGCTGTACTTTGGTTTGAGTGCTTCGAACGACATGTGCTTCCCTGTAACATTTCTGTTTTCAGACTCTTCTGTGCATAAACCCGCCCCTTTTCGACGTGCACCAGACGCTGCTGAGCCCTGCCCAGCACCATGTGGCGCTCATTGGTACCAAGGGGCTCATGGTGCTGGAGCTGCCCAAGCGCTGGGGCAAGAATTCTGAGTTTGAAGGTGGGAAATCCACGGTGAACTGCAGGTGAGTGAGACCTCAGGTGAATAATGACACCCTTGTCCTGCCACTCTTCCTCCACAGCCTCCCTTTCTTGGAGTTAGGTAGATACAGAAGGCACTGGTGGAAGGTACAGGTTGTATTGGGGTTGGGGGGCAGTCACAAATAAATTATTGTGGCTCAAATACTTGCTTGCTTGTCAAGTAACCCAAATAAATAACCTTCTAAACTTGTTGCAATTGCTGAGGAGCAAGATGCTCCTCCAGTATTCTGTAGCTTTCCACAGAATCATAGAATGGTTTGGGTTGGAAGAGACCTTAAAGGTCAGCAAGTTCCAACTCCTGCTATGGACAGTGATGCCTTCCACTAGACCAGGCTGCTCCAAGCCCTGCCCAACCTGGTCTTGGACATGTCCAGAGATGGGGCAGCTTCTCTGGGATCTTTCAGCTGTGGCAGCTAAAAGCAGACATTTGGGGGGAAATAACAGAGGCCTTCAATTTAAAGCTGCTTTCCAACTTTCAGAGTAGTGCAGATAAAGACTCTGAAATCTTTTCATTGTGTCTCTAGCTCTTCTTGCCCCTGCTTCCCTTTAGAAGTAGCTTTGTGTTTCTGGTCCCAGTGCAAGTCTCTGCTCTGTGTTCCAGCACCATTCCTATAGCGGAGCGGTTCTTCACCAGCTCAACCTCCCTGACCCTCAAGCATGCAGCCTGGTACCCCTGTGACACCATGGAGCCCCACATTGTGCTCCTGACATCAGATAACACCATCAGGTAAGCCCCATTTGTGGCTGATTTTTCAAAGTGTGGTTTTTTTTTGTCATGTCCAGCCTTAACTTGTCACTGGGTATTTGCATCCTGCTATTTTTACCAGAGTTAGCAATAAAAAAGTAGGATGGGGGGAATTTCAGAGTGAGTGGCTGATGTTCCTGTGTCAGCAGGGAATGTGCAGCACTGCCAGCAGAGTGCCAGAGCATGGCTGCTGTTTCTTTCCCCCAGGTTCTACAGTCTGAAGGTGCCTCACACACCCATCAAAGTGATTGTGCTTTCAGACACTGAGGAGGAGACTCTTACCATCAAAACAGGGTTGGTGTGGCTTCTTGTATTCTGAAATGCTCCTGCAAAATATTCAGTATTCTCAGTTGTGTTTTTAATGAATAAGTGATAAAGATGCCTGAAAATCTCATATGAATTCTGTAGTGCTAGCAATTCTTCACAGCAGAGTACCTACACTTTTCCCTCCCCTTCACCTTTTTTCCCTTCTTTTTCCCTTCTTTTTCCCTTCTTTTTCCCTTCTTTTTCCCTTCTTTTTCCCTTCTTTTTCCCTTTCTTTCTCTTCTTTTCTTTCCTCTCCCTTTCCTCTCCCCTGACCTTCTAAAACAAAGTGGTGACAAACTGTACAGTCAAGTGTTTGTCAGAGTAGCAGCTTGAAAACCACACATTGACTTTAGGAAGGGGTTTTTGAATGAGGGATGTAGAAAATAGATTATCTTTTTATGTCCCTCTTGGCCTGGTTGCAAACAGAACTCATGCATCACAGAGTGGCGTCCCTCACAGGAAGTACCAGAACCCCTCCCGTGTCTCTGGAGCTGTGGGGGCACTGCAGAGCTGATGTGCCATGACTGGGGTGTCCCTTACAGCCTGTTGTAGCTGGCAGGGGTGGGTGGGATGGGGTTGGGCAGGGGTTTGGCAGCACAGCCCTCAGGAGCAGGTGGCACTCTGTGCTCTCAGTGCTTGCTGAGCCCGGCTGCTTGTGCCCTGTGCCAGGAGAGCCTACACCGCGTCCCTGGGCGAGACGGCCGTGGCCTTCGACTTCGGGCCGCAGGTGCCGGTGCCGAAGCACGTCCTGGGCCAGCGCGGCAGCGAGGAGGTGCTGGGCTACCCCCTGTACATCCTCTATGAGAATGGAGAGACCTTCCTCACCTACGTCAGCCTGCTCCAGAGGTAGGGTCTGACCCCCAGGGCTCCTGGGGTGCTTGGGTGTACAGTGATGGGGTGAGAGTCACCTCTCAGCTTGGCTGGGACTCTGTGAGGGATGCTGGGCTGAGTTTTCTTGTATTGCAGCCTGTTCTGTCTCTGTGGCAGTGTGATAGACTGGAATCCAAAACCAGCGTGTCATTCTTTCTCATCCAAACACTATGGGTGCAGCTTGCACTGCTCAGAATGCTTTGTGCATTATTTACCACCAGCAATCTGATATGAAAACACAGGGCTGTAAAAAGATCAGTGGGTCTAAGGCTGTTCAGTGTATTTTGTGGCACAGACATCCTTAGCTTTGGATGAGGCTTATTGAGCCAGGGACATCCTAGGAAAATAAGTATTTGAAGAGCATAGGGAGTTCACAGGCTGTTCTGCAATGGAAATGATTAATCAAAAATAAAAACATGATACAAGAAAGAATTTAGAAAACTGAGAAGATGGTGCAAGACTTGAAAGTTAGATCTTGTGTAGCTGAATATTAAAGAGTTTGGTACTTGGGTTAGAAACAGCACTGTGAGGAGATCTGTCTGCAGGCAGTGAGATGGCCTTAGTCCATCTGAAGTTCTGCCCAAAGAAATGCCACAACACAAAATGCTGCATGTGAAGTGCAAGAACCAGTTGAGTAATCAGTAACTTGAGCCTTCCATGAAAACGTTTCCTCGTGAATTTTTGCAGTGTAGCTTTGGTTGCTTTCAAAGCATAAAATGAGCTCTGATTTCCCCTCTGAGATCTGCAGCAAGGAGCTGCAGGTCAGAGTTGCAGTCTGCAGCAGTGCAGTGGTCTCAGAGCTCCCAGCACTGTCTGGCAGCCGTGGGCTGAGGCAAACCCAACCCCGTTCCTTGCAGCACGGGCAGCCCGGGGAAGCTGCTGGGGCCCCTGCCCATGCACCCGGCTGCCGAGGACAACTACGGCTACGACGCCTGCGCCGTGCTGTGCCTGCCCTGCGTGCCCAACATCCTGGTCATTGCCACCGAGGCGGGCATGCTCTACCACTGCGTGGTGCTGGATGGAGAGGAGGATGATGAGCAGGTACCTTCTCTTGCTTTGGTTTTTTTCTGTAGGTGTTTTGGTTTTTTTAAATCCAAGTTCTTGCTGCAAGGTGGTGGGATGCCTCAAAGTGTGTGCCAAGTGCCAAAGCTGCATTCTTTAGGAATGAAGTAGTGTGAATCTTTCTCCTGTTTCAGCCAGTCCCTGTGGCTCCCTGACACTTTTATTTTAAATCTCAATCCTGTGTACCCTGATAGTAGATCAGTTTTTGATCAAATTTAAGGATCTAATTTAAGGAGGATTTTCTAAGAAACCCTGGGTTTGAGTTAATTTTTTTAAAGTAAACTTGATCTACATTCCTTGACAATTAAAACTTGTAACACTTTCTTGATGCTGTTTATGTTGGCATTCCTATTTAAATGATGTCTGACAGAAGAATTCAATGCTCTTTACAGTCAGAGAAGTCCTGGGACCCCAGATCCGATCTTATTCCTTCCCTGTACGTGTTTGAATGTGTTGAGCTGGAACTTGCACTGAAACTGGCAACAGGAGATGAGGAAGATCCTTTGGAGTCTGACTTCTCTTGCCCAATCAAGCTGCACCGAGGTAGGGCTGTTCAGCTTGTGGCTTTTTATTCTTATTGTGGCACACATTTAGGATCCAGTCATTTGTACATTCTCATCAGTGTCAGACAAACAGGGATCAGAGTAAGGATTTGCCTGATGCCCTCAGTAAAGCTGTGGAAAGAGCAAGCCTGGCAGGGGCTCCAGTGTAGATCACACATGGTCAGTACTAAATCCTGTCATCTGAGGCTTATAAAGCAGAAGTTTCTGCATCTGTGCTGACCTGTGAGTGTGAGGGAGTGCTGTGGGGAGGGTGATCCTGAGGGAAGGACCTGCTTATCCCATGGAACTGGGGGCAGGACAAAGTGTTTGGGTCTTTGGGAGCAGCAAGCAGCTTATCAGAATGCTGGTCTGTTAGTTTTAATAATCTGCCATTGGAAACCTGAGTATCTGCCATTGGAAACCTACCTGAGTGATGCAATGTGGTGTGATAGGAAAGGTTCAGAACAACTCAGCAGTGTGTTAGACTCTAACACATGTATCTCTGTTTCTGGTGCTTGCACCAAGATGTTAAAGCTGCCTGGACACTAAGTTGATACACAGGATCAGCAGGGCAGGTGTGAAGGGTGAGTTTTTCTCAGTTCAGTGCCATCTCTGACAATTCCTGCTTCAATTTCAGATCCCAAATGTCCCTCTAGATACCACTGCACACACGAAGCTGGTGTCCACAGTGTGGGCTTGACATGGATCAATAAACTGCACAAATTCCTTGGTTCAGGTGAGTGAGAAAAGTGGGGAACAGATGAACATCCACCAGTAACAGGCTGGTGGATGCAGGGACTACTGAACCCCTCACCCTGCAGAGTGGATCTGATGCATCCTGACATGTCTCCTTGTAGATGAGGAAGACAAAGACAGTTTACAAGAGCTGGGAGCAGAACAGAAATGCTTTGTTGAACATATTCTTTGTACAAAACCACTGCCATGCAGGTAAAAAACCAAACTCTTTCTCAATTGCTTCCAAGTTGGGGACTTGCTATGGAAAATATTTATGATTTGTTATCTTGTGCTGCATTCTTGCCATTAAAGTAAGCTCAGAAGATTTCAAACAATACAACTGAGCAATTTGTGTATCAGGATTCTTACTGCACAGTTAGGGTACTAGCTTAAATTCTTGTGTTACTGTCTGAAAATCACCTGTCAGACCAGCAGAAATTTTCACTTCCATTTACCTGACTTTGGAGCATTTCCAAAAGAGTGAATGTGCACAATTTCAGGAATAAAGAACTTTCCTGACTGGGTAATTTTTGTGTTCTTCCCCTCAGGCAGCCTGCTCCAATTAGAGGATTTTGGATCGTTTCTGATGTCCTGGGGCCCACCATGATTTGCATCACCAACAGCTATGAGTGCATTACAAGGCCTCTCTTGTATGTGGTTCTCAGTTGAAGTCCATGACTGCATGGGAAGGACCAAAAAAGGATATTCCTGTTTTTCAATTACTCTTTGATTGTTTCAGCCCAGGGTCCTGCAGCTCTTAGGACACTCCATGAAGTTTTGCTTTCTGAACACTCCCTGTTTGAGCACTGAAGTGTTACTGTAGCAGTTACCTACTGCTGATGAGGTGTTTGTAGGGATATAATTAATCAGGTCACTTTTAGTGAGTATTAGGACAAAAAAAATGTTCTTGATGGTATTGTTGGGGTTTTTCAGTAGTGTTGATATTCTTAATGAGCTGCTGAGTTGTGTGCCTGAAAGGGGAAAAACAGAAGTAGGATTTTTGTTTGTGCTTCCAGTTACTTTCTTTGGAGGTGGTGGCAAAGATACAGAGTGGTGTAAATGTGCATTTGCACAATGAAATGAGCACCTTGAGGGGGTCACACTGTTTTCAGCTTAGTTTTTGCAGGGCACTGTTTAAGGTAGGACAGGTACCATCAGCAGAGCCAGTGTTAACATCAGGTTCTCCTGGAGATCTTTTATTTATTTCACTGTTTCCACACAGGTGGGCAGTGACCAGGCAGGGTGCTTAGTGGAGAACGTCATGCTGCTGTTCCAATGCCTGCCTGCCTTGTTCTGGAACTTTCTTCTCCTTAGGCCAAAGGATATTTATGATCCTTGCTAGTTTGAGCTGTGACCAAACAGGTGTGGGGCTGTGAGCTTTGCCTGCCCTGCTGGGGCTGGATTTACCACATCACTGAGGGAGCTGCAGTGACCCAGGAGCTCCCCAGTGGAGGAGTCCAGTGAGGGAGCTGTGGCCTGTTTCAGGGTGAGGGGTGTGACTGTTCCCTGTGCTGCTGTGTGCAGGAGCACCGTGCACCCTGCCTCCCCTCCCCTGCTGTGCACCAGGGAGGACAAGGAGCTGGCCGTGTCCCCGCTGCGCATCGTGGCCGAGGCAGAGCATTCCTTCGAGAAGCACATCCAGGGCATCCTGCAGCGCAGCTCTGCCAACCCCCTGCACCTCAAGTGAGCAGAACCTGGGGCACCTGCAGAGGGAACACTGGGTGTTGGCCAGTTCCTGCACCAGCCCAGTGATGGTGCAGGCTGGGAGGGGATCCCTGGCTCCAGGCTCCTGCTCAGAGCAGGGCTGCCCTCAGCTGATGAGGTTCTCATTGCTTGGCCCATTGGGGTTGGAGTATCTTAAGCTACCTTGGGATTTCCTCGTGTCAAAGGGATTTCATTGTAATCCCTCACTTTCATAACACCCCTCCCCCCCCCCCCCCGAGGTTTACCATAAACACTGGAAGTGGTTTAGCCTTCCAAAGGAACATATTAGTAAGATGGCAAAAATCTCAATCTTAAGATCTGCAGATAAAGATGCTGCTCCTCCCCCTGAAGAATGCCTTCAGCTCCTCAGCAGAGCCACCCAGGTGTTCAGAGAGGAATATATACTGAAACAGGACCTGGCAAAGGAGGAGATTCAGCAAAGGTAATGCAAAACTCTCATAAAAATGTGCTGGAATGTCTCTGTGACACAGCAGCACTGTGGGTCTAATCCTGGTGAGTGAGTAAATGTAAAACTAACAATGAATACCAGAACTTAAAACTAAGTTGTCAGGAAAAGCAGGAGTGAGTTTAATAGCTGATCTCCGTAGTGGCTTATAAGGGAAGAAGAAAATGGTAAACACACACACAGATAAAATACTTTTCTCATGGTGTTGTCTGCCTGCCTGGGCCTGTGGGTGGCAGGAAGTCTGACCTCAGCACAAATCCTGACAAAGGGAAATTGCTTTAAGTCTCTGCTGTTTCAAATCATAGTCAGTTATTTACACTATACAGTTAGGACAAAATGGGAGTTTTTTCTCATTGCCCCCTTTTCAGTGTCTTTAGTTCTTCCCACTCCCAGGATTTTCTCTGTGGTGTAAAGCCTGATTCACCTGGTTGCAAGTGGTTTGATTTTTTTTTTTGGTATGTGTTTACTTCAGAGTGAAGCTGCTGTGGGGACAGAAAAAGAAACAACTGGAGGATCTGAATTACTGTCGAGAGGAGAGGTGAGTAGAGCCTCTCTCCTTGATCCAGTCAAACTCAGGAGTGATGCACCTCAGGTGGTTTGGAACAGGTGACAAGTGAAGGCATTCCCAGCCTGCAGGTTTGCTCCCTCCTCCAGCTGCCTTCTTCAGCCTCCTTGTCCTTTCCCACACCCTGGCTTGTCCCGTGTGTGGATCTAAGTAAGGAATTGTTTCTCCCTCACCTTAAGGAAAAGCTTGCGGGAAATGGCCGAGCGCTTGGCTGACAAGTATGAGGAAGCCAAGGAGAAGCAAGAAGACATCATGAACAGGTGAGTGCACACAGGGCTCTATTTCACCTCACACCACCTGATGTTGAACAGAGTTTGTAGAACAGAGTGGGCAGGAGCTGCTGCACTGCTTAGTTACAAAACTGGGCTTCTGCAATTCCCTGTGCTGGGGCTTGGTGTGATCTGTCTGCAGGCCCAGCCTGAGCCAGCCCCATGCTCAGAAATGGCACTGAGACCAGCTGGAAGGGGAAGGTGAAGCCCCTGAGACTTGGGCAGCATGGCCCAGGTGTTTGAGCAGAGCTGGGTACCAGGGATGTTAACTCAGAGACATTTCTTGCTTTCAAAGGATGAAGAAAGTCCTTCGGAGTTTCCACTCTCAGCTTCCTGTTCTATCTGACACTGAAAAAGATATGAAGAAGGAACTGCAGACAATCCACGACCAGCTGCAGCACCTGAGCAATGCCATCAGACAGGTGAGAGGGGGAATGGCCAGGCTGGGAGGTTACTGAGCTCCTCCCTCAGTGCTGACAGACGAGTCCTGCCCACAAAGTGATGCTGTACTTGTGTTAATGAGCAGCAAGGAACTCAAGGGGCTTTGGGCCCTTGGTGTAATACAGACAGGACCTTTGCACACACTGTAAGCCCTCAGAGAGCTCCCCCTGCCCCAGCCTGGCAGGGACAGTTCTTCTCTTCGTGGGAAGTGCAAAAGCAGACAGATTTGAACCCAAAAAGAACCAATTAATTGCAGTACAACACAGCAGTCTAATTAACAGGCTTCCACTGTGGCAGGCAGGAGCAGCACTGACAGGGGCCTTGTCTTCTCTCCTCCCAGGTGAAAATGAAAAAGGAATACCAACAGAAACAGATGGAGAAGGGCCGCAGCCCCCGCAAGCCCAGCATCAGCCTCAGTGCCTACCAGAGCAAGTGCATCCAGGCTGTCCTGAGAGAGGAGTAAGTGCAAGCTGGGCTTCTCCTGAGGGAGGAACCTGAGCCCTGGCTCACCTTCACTTCAGGTGTCTCAGGTGTCATTTAAGCCATGCTGGGGCAGAGGGGCTGAAGCCCAGGACGTGCAGCTCCTGAGAGCAGCACTTGGAGCAGATGTATGGAAATGCTTTTTGCTGCTGGCTCCCAGGGCAGTCTGTGACCCAGCCTGGGATCAGACAGGCACTGCTCCCCTGCCTGCTTCTACCAGCTGAAGTGTTTCCCTTCCTCCCTAGCTCTGTGCAGCCTTTTGACTTGGGTTATTTTTTCTTGAAGGGGAGAACACATCCGGGAGATGGTGAAACAGATCAACGACATCAGGAGCCACGTGAACTTCTGACGTGTCCTGGAGAGGGGCTGGATGAGCTTTACCTGGCCCTGGTATTCCCCTTGTATATTTACCATTTGTATGTTGAACAATACACCTTTTACATATTATTTTGTAAAGAATTGTGAAATAAAATACTTTTGATATGACTCCTCATAAGCTGTGGTTTTTGTTTCTGTCATGGAAGGGGATGTGCTGCAGGTGTTTTATATTTGGGGTGTTTGTTAGAGGGTAATTCCTTCAGCTGCCTCAGGAGTGGGGGGGTTATCCTGGGATTGTCTCCCACCCTTGCTCCATCAGGGGTTCCCTGGGGGGAGGCTGTGGCAGGAGGCAGAGGAGAAAGACCAGAGCCGTGCACACACACACTTCAGCAGCTTTTTTTAATTTGGAACACTTTCTCCATAAAGGACACACCTTCAGTACAGTTAACAAATGGTTACACTGGAATCCTGGAGACAGCAGAATTCTACACCCACGATTGCACAGGACACCAATGGCTTGGCTCACTGGAATGCAGTATTCACTTCCAAACACTGTTTGCCTTTTGCCAAGATGGCTCTGCAGTCCTTCTTGCCATTGCAAGGCCAATTCAGTCTCTGCTGTAGACAGACTCTAGTGGACAATAAGGAATTGTTGTCCCTCACCCCTGCCCTTGGAAAAGGTGCCATGGTGAAGCTCAGGGGGGACAGGAGTTACTGCACTGCTAAAACAGGGGGGGCACTGCTGGGGGGTACCAGACATGCTGCAAGAACACTTTGTACAGGTTAAGACTATACAGGTACAGGAATGCAGACAGAACTCCACCTGGGCCCTGTTACAGCCTCCACCAACAGCTCATCCCCTGGCACAGCTGAGCAGTGACACTGCCTGAGCCAGGAGAAGCCACCCTGGCCCCAGCCGTGCTCCACAACACCCAGAACTGGAAGGAAGAGCATTTGTTTTCTCATGTTCATGAGCAGCAACACCAGAATCCATCATCCAGTGAGTATCTACACCAAGAGCTTTTCCTACATTTACAGTCTTTTAAATTTGCTCTGCAAATTTGGCACACACTGTCTTGTTTTGCTTTTCAAGGCCCCTGTGAGTTTGAGTTCAGCAGAAGCTCAGTTGCTGCTGCTGAAGCTTTGCTGTCCTTCCCCCAGGAGGGACAGGAGTTTGCAGGGAGCACATCTCCCACCACTTCTGTGAACAGCCAGGGTTCCAATTGCAAACTGAATTGTTTAAAAGTCTGACATTACAGCAGTTGGTGAAAAGGGTGACTCGTGTTCCAACACTAAAATGGCCACAGCTGGTACTGGGACGGGAGCACAGGTGTTGGGCTGTGTGATGGAACAGGGAGGTGAAAAGGAAAAACCATGCAAGAGCTGCCTGCCCTCCTCTCCCCACCAAAGTTCCTCCAGGGACCTTTACAGTGCCTGGTTCACCAACAAGGAAAAGCACACAGTGCACACCCCCAGGGCTGCAGGGCTGCCTTGGGAGCAGCTCCACAGGCCCTGGGGCTACCAAGGAGCCCAAAGCATTTGCCCCACTCACCTCCTTCCTGCCAGACTGCAGCCATGAGCTCGCCCTGACACCACCACAGTGGGGAAAGCTGTGCCCATGAGCCATAAAAACACAGCAAGGAAAAGCCCCCAGCCCTGGAGCACCTGAAAGGCTCTGAGCCAGCACAGCCAGGGCTGCTCAGAACAGGTCAGACACAGGACCAGCAAGGGATGCTGGAAGGCCAGAACAGCCCCTTTCCCTGCTCTCTCACACTGGGACCATCCAGAAACACAACCAAAAAATACTTTACTGTGAAGACTTCAAGGTGCAGTTCCTAAAGAGCTCAGCTTGCTGAAGAAGGTGCAGGATGTGGTGTAGTTTTGCCATACACGAGGCTTCCTTCCACCTCCTGCACAGGTGAGGCCCCAGTTACAGTAACTAACCCTGTAACCTGGTACACATTTTGGCAAGGGAGGGTGGGAACAGAGAAAAAAGCTTTCCTTTCTGTTCTGCAGCTCCTACTAAAGGCCTGTAGTTCTGTCTCCAAAGTCTACCCAGCCATTGGAAAACTGAATGAAAACATCTGGTCCTGGATTTATGCATCAGGACCTGGCTGCTGTCACCCACAGTTCAGCAAATAGTGAGGAAGAGTAAAAAACCCCTAATCTGGTAATTGCCAAATCAGACTCAAGCCACACTTCAACGTCACCTTTATGTGACAGTAAGTGTCATCTCTAGACATGACAGCTCTGCCATCTGTTAGTCATTACTAAGGTAGGAAAAATTGCTTTTGGGTGTCAGGATTATGAAGGGAATTAATTGCTAGGGTGAATAAAATGCTTTAATTCTTGTAATGAGTGGCAAGGAATTGAGCTTGTATGATGCTTTTTTGGCTGTTTTTAAGGCATTCCTCTTCAAAACCACTGGTTCTGACTTTATGTCAGTAGCAGGATATACACTGCTAAAAATAGGATCTAAGCACTTAAAATATATAGTCATGTGCATTGCAGTTTGGAGCATTTTCTGTCACTTTTGAAGGTGATGAAGAAAAGCAGATCTCTGGCCAAGTATATGAAGAAAAAACATCAAGGAATGAAGGAAAAGCTAAGAAGTTTTGGACAGCAGGATCTGCTCCTTCAGCCTCCTTTGAACTGAGTTGTAAAGTTCAAGAATTGGGTTTGTACCACCAGGATCATCAACACCTGCAACAGCTCAGGAATGTGTCCAGCTGCATGCATGGAGCTCCAGCAGTGCAGGAGGAGGAGGAGGAGGAGGAGGAGGAGGAGGAGGAGGAGGAGGAAGAATGCTCATGTTACCTCTGGACATTTATAGAACAAGAAACCCAAACCTGGCAACTGAGTGATCCCAAGAATTTCCTGCCTCTGCTGCCACATTACTCAGTGTAATTCAACAGTCTGGGAGCAGGACCAGGGCAAGCACAGGAGGCAGCCCTGAGCAGTGCAGGACAGCAGAGCTGCACTGCCCCCTCCAGCAGCACAACCCTGCAGCTCCTGCAGGCTGTGCCCTGCCCAGGAGGGGCTGGCAGTGCCTCCCTGGGTGCTGGCACTGCCCTGGCAGAGGGGGCAGGAACAGCTTCACTCACAGCTTCACTGGACACCTTCTCTCCCCAGAGAGCTCCTGTGCCACCCCCAGAGCAGAGCACACCTGCCCCACCTCAGGCCAATGCTCACACATGCACATGACTTTTACCAGCTTTTTTCTGTTTGGGTTTTTTGTTTGCTTGGTTTTTGGTTTGTTTTTTTCCACAGAGAAGGGATTCCAGGCACTGCTCAGCTTTAGGAGATGAGAAACAACCGGTTGTAGCTCCATATTCTAAATTACATTTGTGAAAAGAGATTACAAAACAGTGCATTTCTTGTGCTTTTCTTTCTGTATCTGAATTCAACAGAAAAATGGCAAGGAGTTAAATTCTCAGTACAGTGTTCTTTTTCTTTTGGATTAGCATTTATCTGTTCAGGAGATACACAGCTCACTCATATCCACATTTCAGCAGCATTCAGATTCTTCACAGAGCCAATGGGTTTTTTAAAAAAAAAGTACTGAGTTATGAAATAAGATCAATATCCAGTGTCCTGCTAATAAAGTCATATTTTAATATAAAATATTCATACAGCATACTCTACACCTCATTCTCTCTGCTAGCTGAATACTGTTACTGACTATTCAAACAGAAAAACTTCAACCACTTTGCTCTTCAACGTTTTGGAGGGACAATAGTTTCCAGCAGCTACTTTGATCACAGTAGTGGGGGAAAGAACAGAGGGAAAGACAGGGGTTTATGTTCCAAAACTCTATATTAGGTTACGAAGTCAGCTGAAAGAGGGAAGTTTTTCAGAATGTAAGGACTGATCCCACTCAGTGGAACACGAAACACTGCACTCATTAGTGTTTCCATTAGAAATTCTCCTTCCTACACTACAAGTCACCCTTGTGCTCTCTTCCTGCCCAGTACGAAACCTTTTTCCCCTCTAGAAACAAAACTTAAGTCATTGCTCCCCTCTGTTGTCTTCTGCTCTCTCGGTTAGAGTTAAATAATAATTAATGTTGCTATAAAGATGAGTTAAAAACCTCAGCCACAGCCTTGGAGCCCATCAGGGTGCCTGTCATGTTTCAGGGAGCTGATTAATGTCCGTCAGTTTTGTGTCGTTCAGGATTGCACGGATCCTCTCCAGGGAATCTGCCTGCCGGATCCTCTCCAGCTGCACCTGCAGGAACAACACAGCACTCAGTCAGTGAGGGCAGAGCCAGGCCTAAAGGGGCTCAGAGCCAGGCCTAGAGGGGCTCAGAGCCAGGCCTAGAGGGGCTCAGAGCCAGGCCTAAATGGGGAGAGCCCAGAACCAGGCCTAAAGGGGGAAGAGCTCAAGAGCCAGGCCTAAAGGGGGAAGAGCTCACACCCAGACCCAAAGGGAGAAGAGCTCAGAGCAAGGGGAAGAGCCCAGAGCCAGGCCTAAAGGGGCTCAGGGCCAGGCCTAGAGGGGGAAGAGCTCAGAACAAAAGGGGGAAGAGCTCACACCCAGGCCCAAAGGGGGAAGAACCCAGAGCTCACACCCAGGCCCAAAGGGACCCCCCAAGGGATCCAACATCACCAGGGGCTGAAGAAATGCAAGGTGTGAAGGAGCACAAGCTTAATTTGGGCCTAAGGATAGGAAGAAGACACGAGGCAGTTGTGATTTTACAATAATCCCCACTTTCTGGGGGTTCCAGGCATCGTCAGCACTCGGTGTTTTGTCTCATGTCCAGCCACTGACACTGTACTGGAAAACTGGAGATGTGCAAAGTAAACCCTCCCAGGAGCAGCCCAACACGTGCCTTGGAGGCTCTCAAGGTCACAGCCAAAATGCTCTTGGAGCAAACATCCCATTTCCAGGCTCACTCCTTGCTCTGCTGAGAATCCAGTTTAAGCTGAATTCTTAAATTCAAAAAGGGCCCAGCAGAGCTGTGGTGGAACCAATGCAAAGAGAGCACAACTGATTTCTTTCTCACACTCAAACTCTCACCATCTTTGCAATAGGATCTGGGTTTCAGTTATAAATCCCCAACTAGCATTTAACTGCTTTTTAACCCTTCCTCTGAACTGCTGATAGCTGATTTGGCCAGTGAACCCCTCACACAAGGGGCACCTGCTCAGGCTCTCACTGACAAGGCCAGGGAAGGGAATAACCCTGCCCAGAAAGCACAATCCTCTCTGATGGTCATCTCACACTGTGTACAGTGCACATGGCACAAACCATTGCTTCAACTGAGCACAAACTGATGTGCAGTAACTGCTTAGGCAGAAAGAAAACTCAACACACAGCTACAGTTCTAACTGAGCTCAAGGTTTACTGAACTACCTGCAAGCTGTGGAAGAGTCCACCACACATCTTCAAAGTGGTGGCTGTTTGCTCTAAGAACTGCATAAAACAGTGCCTGCACCCAAAAAGTGAGGATGAGGACAAACAAGAAGCAACTTGCCTGAACAGGACAACTCAATAGTCTCCTTTGTCCTACCAGCTCCTCCAGACACAGAGCCAGAGAGGACAGATCTCCATTGTCCATCCAGCTAAACTGTGTCTAGTAAACAAATCTCCCATGTTCTGGTGTTAGTTTTCCAAGTAAACCTGAATGCCTGGCTCAGAAAACGTGCAGTTTAAATTCTGCTGGATGTCACTGAGGGCCTGGCCAAGGACTGCAAGGAGATGGGGCTGAAATTCAGCACCTCCTCTGTGAGCAAAGCTGGAACATAAAGGGGGCACAAACTCTGGGAACACAGACCCTGAGGGTGAGCCCAGTCCAGCCTGGCTTCCCCAGGTCACTGAGAGCTCCTCTGCACACAAACTACAGCAGAACAGCCTGAAAAACCTGGATCAGCCTCAGGGACACCCCTGAGAAAACTCCTCCCCTCAGCCACCTCACATCAACCAAGGTTCACTTGGTGGAGGAAATACAAGGATAACAGCAGAGACAAGAGCAAGGACAAGACTTTTAGAATGTATAAACAGAAAGCAGTAATTGTAACACTAAGAACCACTTCATATATTCAGATTAAGCAGTACCAGCTCCTTACTTTGTCCTCAAATATTTGCATCTGAATGATTTGCTATGAAAATATCACATTGGAAGCATCAGGAGATGGACAAGGAAAAACACAGGCCTGGAAGAGCCATCATCTTTGGCCCTGCACAGTTGCTTTTAGTACAATAACTGAAAATTAGCTAGAACCATGTAATCAGGATGGAATCCCAATAGCTTTAATAGTAATATAATAGTAAGAATACCTGAGCAGTTTATTACACTAACAAATTCTAAAATAGATCATAAATACCAACATAAGAAAATTTACAACTGCTGTTTCTTATTTTACTCAGCTCTGGGGAAATAATGAAACTAAAGCAGCCCTTACACATTGATTGGACTCTTACCTGAAGTGTCTGAGAAAGCTTTACAAAGTCTCTCTGCACTTGCTCACTGACATCCAATTCAGTCTGCAACCTCTGGGCTTTGTTCTTCTCTTCAAACACCAGCTGCTCAAGGTTGGCCTGAGGAGGAAAAGGTTCTTATGCTTGAACTGAATAAAAATCAGCAGCTTTTATGAACTGATTAAAGTGTGATACCAGAGGAGAGCAGCACAGCATTCACAGGGCCCTGGCAACAAACTAACCCAGTCTTTCCACACCTCAGTTTTCCAAAGTGCAAAATCAGGGGCCAATACCCATTAACAGGTGCCAACAGACTGGTTAAGGCATGAAAAAGCCCAAAGTCCCTTAAGAGCACCATGAGCAGGGATCTCAAAATACAAAGGCAGAGTTCTGAGTTCCAGTGCAGTAAGTTCATGGTAAGGGCAGTAATTGCTGCTGGCAATGTGAGTGTCTTGCTGTCCTGAGCTTTAGTCAGAGAAGTGTTAGGGGAAAGGAAAAAAAACTAAAACCACAACAAGAGAGGGCAGAGAGTGAGTGCTCAGATCACAATTATTTCATCTGGGTGCTGAAGTAGAGCCCCTTCCTACAGCAACTACCAAAAAATCCCAAACATTTCTTCAAAAGCATCAAAGCCCCCAAGCCAGGGTTTGGTTCTCAGGACACTGCACAGTCTGGAATGTTCCTGAGCCTTCCCTTGGGAGGGCAACCCAAGGGATGTCAGAGCAGCAGCAATTCAGAGCCACCACTTTACAAATCCCAGTGAAAACAGGGGTGAGGATTTAACCACATCCAGAGGACATTATTGCCCTGCCAGTTTCTTACCAACATTCAAAAGCTTCTTTTTTTCATTCTTAGGTAGTGCCACATTCTCTGACACAGCTGCTCATCACAAAAGATGCAGATACACTTCACATCCAGACATCATAGCTACCTTTGCTGCAGTCTCCTTCTTCAGCTGTTCTTCTAGAGCATTCTTTGCCTCCTGCAGACTCTCCAGCTGCTGCAGGTTTTCCTGTGAAGAACTTTCCAACTGTATAATAATAATACCAAAAAAAATTAATTAAACTTCATAACATTTCCATCTCCCACAGTTCCTCCATAAGGAAGTCTAAGAATCTTTCAGTACTTAGGGGACTCAGGAACTCAGAAACATACCCAGATAATCTCTTCTAGAGGCAGAGAAAACACCTGAATAACATCACTTTCTCTCTATTTATTTACTTTTGGAGCTGAAGAGAAATATCCAAACTTGACATTTAGGTCAGTGTTAGGTAGGCTAGTAGTAGTTAGGAATTAGTTACAGATTAATAAAACAGATCAAACACCTTTTAAGGAACAGAACTATGAATGTGTCCTATTCCTACACTGGCATCAATACAGGAAAGATAAAAAAAAACCCTTTATTAAAAAACCCCACACCACCAAATCCAAAAATCCCACAGTGAAAGAGCTTCTTACCTGTTCCTTTTCTGCTTTTATTCTTTCCAGTTCAGCTTTTAAACTGGAAATGGAAGCTGAAAAACAAGAACATTAAAACTTAAATGCAAGAAAAATTGGGAATAGGGGGAATTGTTCATACCCTATTTACTTCTGTTAATATTGAAAGGAGAATTAAGGTCATGTTAAATCAAAGGTACCTCAAAAGCAAACAAATAATTGTACTTTTGTTTTCAGCTGCACAGCTTTGGTGTCTCTGCTTTCAAAAGTGCACAGTATTTAGAATTCAGGTAAGTCTACACACAAAATTCAGGTAAGTTTACTACAAAATCAAGTCTTTGTGCAACTTAATAATTCCTTATATTCCTATTCTGAGACCGTTTCACCCCTGCTCACCTATTTCCTCTTTGCAATTCTCTATTTCCAGCTGTAGAGTTTCTTCTATATTTTCTTTCAAATATTGCTCAGCTTGGATCTGTTCCTTCAAGAAGAGGATCTCTGCCTTCAGCTTCTCCTCGAGGTGATCTGCAGCTGTCCTCACACTGATGATGTCCTGCCTGTACTTGAGGATCAGCTCCCGGAGCTCCTGGATCAGGATTAGCAGAGATGCGCATTTGGCATCACCCAGCTCTGGGCTATCAGCACAAGGACAAAGCTCTGCTGCCCCAGGGCCTGTCCTGCCATCCCAGGCAAAGCTCTGCTGCCCCAGGGCCTGTCCTGACATCCCAAAGCTCTGCTGCCCCAGGGCCTGTCCTGCCATCCCAGGCAAAGCTCTGCTGCCCCAGGGCCTGTCCTGACATCCCAAAGCTCTGCTGCCCCAGGGCCTGTCCTGACATCCCAAAGCTCTGCTGCCCCAGGGTCTGTCCTGACATCCCAAAGCTCTGCTGCCCCAGGGTCTGCCCTGACATCCCAAAGCTCTGCTGCCCCAGGGCCTGTCCTGACATCCCAAAGCTCTGCTGCCCCAGGGCCTGTCCTGACATCCCAGACCAAGCTCTGCTGCCCCAGGGCCTGTCCTGACATCCCAGACCAAGCTCTGCTGCCCCAGGGCCTGTCCTGACATCCCAGACCAAGCTCTGCTGCCCCAGGGCCTGTCCTGACATCCCAGACCAAGCTCTGCTGCCCCAGGGTCTGCCCTGACATCCCAGACAAAGCTCTGCTGCCCCAGGGCCTGTCCTGACATCCCAAAGCTCTGCTGCCCCAGGGCCTGCCCTGACATCCCAAAGCTCTGCTGCCCCAGGGCCTGTCCTGACATCCCAGACCAAGCTCTGCTGCCCCAGGGCCTGCCCTGACATCCCAGACAAAGCTCTGCTGCCCCAGGGCCTAAGCTCTGCTGCCCCAGGGTCTGTCCTGACATCCCAGACAAAGCTCTGCTGCCCCAGGGCCTGTCCTGACATCCCAGACAAAGCTCTGCTGCCCCAGGGTCTGTCCTGACATCCCAGACAAAGCTCTGCTGCCCCAGGGTCTGTCCTGACATCCCAGACAAAGCTCTGCTGCCCCAGGGTCTGTCCTGACATCCCAGACAAAGCTCTGCTGCCCCAGGGTCTGTCCTGACATCCCAGACAAAGCTCTGCTGCCCCAGGGTCTGTCCTGACATCCCAGCCCTTGCTCCCAGCAAGGAATTACAGCCACAGTCAGCTTGGCCCCAGGAAATGGAAACATGGCAAAGATCCCCATGGGTTTATGATGCTCCTCCTGTCCTTCAGCACCACCAAATCTTTTAGGCTGAAAGGAAAGGAGTGGCCATGAAAGGGATGCTAAGGTTTATCATTACTGAAGGCTTTGGATTATTACTGGTTTTAACTGGACAGAAGTGACTGGCTTCACTTGAATTGCTGAATCAATAGTGGGGCTCTGCTGACTGAACACCTGTGTGCCCAGGTGGAAAATGCAGCTTGAACTGGCTGAACTGGGCCAAGCCCACACTCCACTGACCACAGAGCAGACCACAGACCACAGTTAGCTCTCAGACCATGGTTTTACAATCCATCCACACCCTGAAGCAGCCATGGCACAGGGGGACCACTGGCTGGCTTTGTCCATCACAGACTTCCAGGGTTAAAACCCCAATTGCTGCTCTTTGTGCTGTTTGAGACAGCTTTTTGATAAAGAATAATACTCCAGGGAGATCAACTCACAAGCACTGTTGGTGTTAATGATTTAAAAATATTTTACCTCTGTTGCCTCTGGTAGAATGAAATCTTCAGCCTGCTGTAAGGACACATGCAAGCTGTGTTTTCCTTGAAGACTTTCATTATCTTTTTGCAGTCTCACCAACTCTTCTGAAACCTGCTCCCTTGACTGTGTCAGGACAGCCTACAATGCAAAGAAAAGCAGAAATTCACGCTCAGGGTCATGCTCAGATCTCTTCTGCCCCATTTACCACCCCTACTTTCAGCAGTCTGGTGAATTAATATTCTTTGTAAAGAAGGGAAACAAAATGATGCTGTGGATCAACACCAGCAGCTCCCTCTGGCCTGGCAAGGCCAACTGTAAAGGTCCAGGCAGAGAGAAGGAAGCAGTGATAAATAAAATCCAGCTTTGTTCAGTGTCCCACCTTCCTCCTGTGTTTATCCATTAGCTGGCTGTGCTCATGGAGGGGAAGGAGGGTAGGGAACCACAGGTGCTTTCAGGAGATGTTTATTAACAGCACCTCAGCACCCTGCTGTAAGAGCAGGTTATCCAAAAACCTGAAATATTCACCCTGGAACTTTCCATGGTGGGTGTCTGCCTCCCACTGTCCTCCCAGGAGAGCACCAGAACAGCTGATCCCATGGAAAGAAAAGGGATGAAGAGGACATGGCTTTGCTTGCATCACAAAAGAAAAAAAAAAATCCAGGGGAGTTTTCCAAGAGGAATGGAAATGGGGAACCAGGGATGTGAGCAATAGCAGGAGAAGCAGACCCAGATCAACACATTTTCTGAATCTCCTGCACATCCACCAGATGAGTTCTCATGCAGAGCATCTCTGCCAGCAATGCCCTGATGTGCTGCACACAATCCCTGACCCCAAAAATGCAATACTGGGGTTCATGAGGATGAATTCTCTCAGGCCCCCACAAATGCTGTGCCAGGGAGGAAAAAAGAAGAAATTTGATTCTGATATAGAAAGGAATGAGTTGCTCTAAGGAAGTCAAACTTAGATCTAAAACATGAGGTGCTCTTCCTATTTTCTGGCTTAATTCCAGCAAGATGTTCAAAAATAGTTTTAAAAAATTAAGCTTCCATACATATCTCTCCCTGGGTGTTAGGGCTGCTATTTTAAGCCTGACCTGCAACAACACTGATCATTCATCTTTAAAACCTGAGAAAATATTCACTAATGATGGTGCTTGTGATGAATCCTAAAAAAGAGTCTTGAGAAAATCTTCTGTCTTCAGATTTGAGGTGAAGTTGAGATAGCAAAAAGACATGGGATTAGACCATGAAAGATGGGAAAAGAAGCTGGGCAGTGATCTCCCTGCTCCTGAATGTGCAGGAACACAGACAGCAGCACAGAATGACACAAACTGACCCAGCCCCAGCACTGCCATCAGAGCTCACTGGCCCAGGCCCTTTGCAAGTGAAGATGCTCAAGCCTGGCTGGGCACACAAAGCCTGTTACAGACACACTGAGCTCCCAGGCTCAGACAAACAGGGCTGCTCATGATCTCTGCAATTAATCTCTCTTACCATTTGCTCCTGGACACTTCTCTTGGCTTGCAGAAATGCCTGCTGCAGCTCACTGAGGAAATTCTCTGACTTCTGACACTTGGCCATGAGCAAGGAGATCTTAAAGAAAGAAAACACAGACAGATATGTAAGATATAAAGCATGGAACAGGTTCTGAAAAAGAAATAAGTTCTCTTGCCTGTTATCATTACTAATAGGTACTTTGAAATTTCAAACTAAGCCACTGAAGTTTATGTTAATTCTTCACTCAGTCAGGCAGGAAAGCAGCTCCAGGCAGTAAGGACAGATGCTCTCTTTCTGCACCAACAATATCATATTCTAATTACCAAACTCTGAATCAACAGTTAATTCTAATAAAATTTACATGCAGGCCACTTCAGAGACACTGAAGGGAAACTAAAGATCTTTTTTCTACGTTTTCAGAATTTTTTGAATTTTGTGTACCTTTCTCTGAAAGCACCCACCTTCAAAAACTTTACAAGTCATTCCACAACAACACATGTAAGATTAATCATTACTTAATTAACAGCACCCTGGTACAGCCAGAAGCACATATAAACATATTTCTGTTGTTTAAGCTGGACTTTGTCTAATGACTGATTCTTTAGTAAGAAAAAATACTGGGTAGGATGGAAGAGACAAAGTTCCAGCCCAAGTGAAGTAAATTCAGTGTCTGGTACACAAATGTACCTACTATTGTAAGCTTTAATAGGCCAAAGATGATGATTTTTTTTTCTTTTTATTTTTAACTATGACTACTACACATTTTATTTGGCTTCATTGTTCCACATTATATTTGGCTTCATTAGATACACATCTCAGACTGAAACATCTTTCCAGTGGGCTATTATTTTAAAGAAGTTCAGTGCCTATTTTGGCCCTGCTAATGCCTGCTCAGCTCCTCATTACTGCATTCTTCACCACAAGTCCATTAACTGGGTGTCAAATGTTGATAAGAGCAGGTGGTGGAACAGAACCACTCCTCTAGGAACAAAGCTGTGCCCAGGGCACAGGGCTCTGCTTGCATGTTTGGGTCATTTCAGACACGGGTCATGCCAAAACTCAAACATTACCCAAACTCCTACTGCCCCTCTGTAATGGAGTTCAGGATTAGAGATGATATATTAAGGCCAAAATTGGGTAACACAATATTAGAGACAAAATAGATTTCTCTAGAAACTGTGACAGACTCAGGTGGAGCATAACTAACCCTAGAAATTCTCATTTGTGTTGCCTCTACAGCCAGTAGCTCATCCATATCTAAAAAACCACAAGTACTTGTTACATACTTTTAAAGAACATTCTTACATACTTTTACTTTTTACATACTTTTAAAGAACATTTCATCATTCCTGGACCTCAATTACAAATCCTTATACCTGATTAGAGGAGTCTTCAGCACTTTGTTTCATGTAATCCTCCAATTCCTGTTTATCTTTCATTGTCTTCTCCAGCTGGTCATTAGCTTGCCTCAGCATCACCTGCAGCTTTTTCACCTGTGTTGTCACAACAAAATTAATTCAGTTTTCATTCTCTTGGGGACAATTTATTTCCTGAACCCTTTCACTCCTCAAACCAACAACATAAAATCCCTCAAAAATCCAAAAATCCTATGCAACCCAGAAGTTCCTTTGCTGTTGAAACAGGCTCCAGCACAGATTATCCCTCTAAGGAAACGTGGGACATCAAACTGCACTGGACCATGGCCATGTAATGACTTCAATCACTTATTTCAAAGCACAATGTGACTCATGCCTTCCACACCCATCTGAAAATTGTTCTTTGGTATATGGCAGGAAACAAATATCCTCCAAGACTTGAAAGTCATTTTATGCTGCCAGGATGAGGTCCTTTTCTGTTAACAGATCCTACAGTATCAAAGATAATAGAATTTAGTGCATGACAAGCATTTTAAAATATAAATTATTAAAGATACTGACTTCAGCATGGGCATAATACTTTTTATAGAACACTAGTGCATGGCCTTACAGCATCAAATAAAGGGTTCTTCAAGGTGAATCCCTAAGAAATTCATGTACTTGACCACACATGAATAACAAATCAAGTTATGTCAAGTTATCCAGTATGTTGATTTTGGTCAGTTAAAACCAATGAATAAAACAGAACCCTTAGTAGTTAAAAAAGCTGCAAAAGCCTGGCTAAAGCAATGAGAGAATTCCCACCTGGTCTCTGGTCTCAGCCTCCTGGATCTGGATCCCTTGTAGCTGCTTCTCATAATTGGAGCACATGTCACAGCGCCTGCCCAGCTTGTTCCCTGCATTCTGCACCTGCAGGACACAGAGTCAGCACCTGCCCTGAGCCAGGGGAGTCTCCAGGGGATGCTACACACACTCAGGTGTGGTGTGGCCACAAAGCATTGCTGACAAAAGAGTGGCAGAATCGTGCAAAGGCAGGATTGAGTTGCTCTACAAGTGAAGGATAACTCAAATCAGCTGGGGGATATCAGCTTTTCCTGCCATGGGTCCCACCATGAGCACAAAAAGCCACAGCACAAAGAGTTCATCAAGGCACTGCTGTGCTCTTCTGACAAACAGAAACCAAACAGGAGGGAAGAAAATAACAGTGCTGGGGAGGGCAGCAGGGAAAGCAAGAGTAAAGCTGCTCTCCTGCTGGAACTGCACTGGTTTTGGCCAAGGGGACAAATGGAAGTTTTATCAAAGTTCCAGCTGCAGGTCAAGTTTGAGCTGAATCTGTGCTTGTGTTTGCTGCTCCATGTCCAACCCACAGCAAGAGGCATTCACACCCCAGTGTGTGCTCCTGCCTCCAGAACATGTGGAAAGCTGCATTTCTGTTCTGGATTCCGAAGCAGGGCTGAAGTAAAGTGTCACCTAAATGTCAACAGGCCAAGGGAACACTCAAGAGTAAGGATTTAACTCAGCTCTGAGCTCAGATGCTGTAATTTCTCCAGATACAGCAAATCAATAGGGAAACAACAACAAAGCAACTTGACAAAAAGTTTGGAGAGACCTCCTAAGCAATGATTTGCACTAAGTTAAATTTCAACAAATAGAGAGACAAAAATAAGTAGTTCTTAATTTCATCTGGCCTTTTCTCGTCCACTACATTCTTATTTATTTTTTTTACTCCCATCTTGTCTCCCTTTTCACCCAGGATGGATTATTATCTCCCCCCACCTCTTCTTCCCCCCAAAGTGTTGTTCCTTGGCCTCTCTTCCTCTGAAAGAAAAACCACAGCAAACCCCAAATACTCCACTTTTCAGCAAAAAACCAAATAGAAGCTTTGAACTGGCATCATATAAAGCTGCTGAAAAACTGGCAGGCAGAACACCCAGAAGCAACAATTTCCATGGTCATCCACAGTGCAACTGGCTCAGGATTCAGTCTGATCTGCTGTTTGCTGCTCTCACAAATGGGTTTGTGATGATGCAAGTCCCCAACAATTTCCTGGAGCCTCTCTGTGGTACTTTGTGCCTTGGGCATAGTTTGGCTGCTCATTTCCAAAGTGCACAGCCCTCAGGAAACCCCCCAGCACACAGAGCAGCACCCCCAGCTCTGCTGCTTCTGCTCCTCTCTGCCTTCCACTCATCCCCAGCTCCACTATAACGCCCTCTCCTCAACTTCCCATTTTCTCCTAAAGTTCTCCCACCTTTTCCCCCCCGCTCTCAGACAATACTGAGTTCCACAGCCTCCTCCTCAAAACCCAGAGCATCGTGTGTTTAGTAAAGCTGCCTGTGCCAGGGGCAGGGCCAGCTCATCCACCTTACACTGGATGTGTTCCACCCACAGAAGCATTCCAAGAGGGGAAAGTGCACATCTGCCCTGGATGTGAGCTGATCCCTCCCCAGCTGGCTCAGGGCAGAGCCCAGGAGGAGGAGGAGGAGGAGGAGCAGGGCAGGGGTCTCACCTCCTTCTGCAGCAGGTTCCACTCTGTCTCGCTGACCAGGCGGTACCCGCTGGGGGACACGTAAGCACTCTCCACGCCCTGGGTGACACTGGAGAGCAGGGAAGCAGTCTCTTCCTGCTCTGGTGTCATTGCTTTGATTGCTTTTTCCTGATCTTTGGTCAACATGAAGCCACTGGGCATTTGCAGGGATCCGAGGGAAGCCGTATCAAAGTTCTCAGACACTGAATCTGCTCCAACAAGTGGTCCAAAGTCTGACTCATCCAGGTTCCCAGCAGATTTTGCTTTGTTGTTGTACCCTAAAGCTTTGGACTGTAAGGATCCAGATGTGCCCAGACTGTCTGTTGACTGTGCTCTCCTAAGTCCATCTTTAAACATATCAGTGTCTGGTTTATTGAAGGATTCTCCAGAGGAAAGAAGCAAGTCTGCATCCAGGGAATGGACTGAGCCATGGGTGCTGTTCACATGCACCTGGAATTGAAAATCAAGGAATAAAACAAATATTTACTCCATTTTAGTGGTACAGGAGGAATGCTGGACACTAATTACAAGGCATGGCAAAGGCAAGGTTAAATTTCTTTGGCATCTGCTCTCTAAGTTTAAGGTCACAGAGGAAGGGACAGAGAACTGAAATGAACAAGCTAGAATTCAAAAACAAATAAAACAAGTTTAAAAAGTCTTCTGTTAACAGAATGCTTCTGTAAAACTACCTTCCTGCCAGACAAGCAAGGACACAGTCACCTTCCAGCTTCCAATATTTGAGGCAAGATGCTTCCCCCATGAGGAGATGTACTAGCAACATTCCCTCCGCAACCATAATCTACACAACAGAAGGCAGATACTTCACTTCCAAAATGAAATTCAGAAGTTTTTCACAAAAAAACTCTTTCCATTAACACAAAAATAAACAGAGAAAAACATACTTAAAGTCTACTCTTATACTGACAAGTATACGTTGTTCTTCTATTTTTCTCTTCTGCTTTGAACGTCTAACAAAATACCAAAATATCTTCTTCACAATGTTATTTGTACATAAAAAAAAGAAAAGGGAAAAGGCTGGGCTTAGACCCAAAGGTATCCTGGGGAATGCCAGCACCAACAGCCACACAAATTGTCCTGTGATGTGTATCAGGCACATGGAGCCTCTCGATCTATTTTTGTTTTTTGTAGCACTGAAAAAAGAGCAGTAATGCTTTATTTAAAAAGCACATGACTGCTTTCAAAATACCTTCCAAAATATTATGCACTTCTGCTTTGCCATTAGACACACAAGGAAGTAACACTGGAACCAGGCTCTTGAGAAAAATTATCATTTCTGAAATAGGTTCAGAGACCAGCGAGCTGCTGGCACTTCATTTAAGTGCTTGCAACCTATAATAGATATATATATATTTATATTATGTACTACTGTTTTATTACTGCTGTAAATGCCTTGTTTTAATCATTCTTAGGAGTAATACCTATATTTGCATGTATATATACAAGTTCATAATAAAAAAGCCAAGGGAATACAGACTTACATAAAACTGCATTTTCAGGCTACAGCTGTTCTGTGATAACCAAAACAATATTAACAAATCATCTGTTTGTATTGCAAACTGCCCAAGAGAGAGGATCTTAGAAGCTATAACAAATTATAACAAGTTGTAAGAACTGATGAATGACTGATTACAACATATAAACCATATTCTGAACAGCTAAAAAGGTCATAAATAACAAAACCAAACACATATAGAAACCCAAACCACGGTGAAAATTATGCTCCTTCTCAAATATAAATTTTCCATGATGTATAAATCTTAGAAGGAAATAAGTATTGTGAATGATGGACTAAAGAACATGCTATGAACTGAGATTAAAGAAAACATCAGCATATAAATTTTTTGTTCCTCACCAATGCCTCATTTGCATATCTGGACATGGAAGATACAAACAGTATTTGAAACAGAAAGTGATTTGTAGGCTAAAGGGTAGGACTAGATCTCAGCTACATTTAGATCTCATGATTCTGAACATCTTTCTGCATTCTGAACTGTTATAAATCCTTGATAAAAGTAAAGGAATTACTTCAGAATACATATATTAAAGTATATACTTTTTTCCCTTCAAAAATGATTAAAAACCAGGCAAAACACTGTCTCCCTCTGAAAATTCTCAAGTCTCTTTAAGGTTAAATAAGCTCCTGTAGCACAAAAACTTTGTGGGTTTTTATTAATTTTTCCTTCATTTGACTCACAAAACCAAAATGGACCCTAAGAAAGGCTAAGTACAGAATTCAACAATTTGATTAGCAAAGCAGCTACAACACTCTTGCTGAATGTTCAGATATAATTGGCTTAATCCTGAACATTTAGATGTGTTAGAACGTGCTTAGAAATCCCAGGAGACCCTACCAGCAGTTAACCTCCAGAATGCAAAATGTAAATTACCATTTTTAATGGCACCTCTCAGGATGGTGCACTATTGTCTTCCAATCTTAATTAGGATTTATAGATTCAACTGCAACTCTGAGGATTTTTATTGCCTAATAAGATTAGAAGCTACAGAGAATAGAGGGCTGTAACTTTGCATTTTTATTTGCAGTGAACACTCTGAGCAATGTCCAAGCACAAGCACAAGATTCAATTGTTTTACCTCTTCATTAGAGAGCTGGGTAAGGGTTTCTTCAGGGGCCAGAGAACATGAAGCCTTTGTTTCATCATCTGAATCTTTTTGCTTCTCTTCCTTTCTCTTGCTAAGCCTTTGCTGATCATCTTCTTCCTAAAAATCAGTGGTCAATAGAGCATACACAGAAAACGGGATTTAATTTTACCATAATAGTCATGACTTCAGCTTTCATGATAAACTAAGCTACAAAGAAGACAATGAAAAGGATTGTTTTGGTTAAAACCCAGTGGTTTTCACATAAATATTCATTTAGTTAATAAATACAGTGTTCATTTCACAAGGTACCCAAACTGACTGAAGTGAGAACTTTGAACATTTAGTGGCTGATTCATGTTTTAGAATGATTTTATTCAAGAAGCATATTACTTAGTTTAAAATTCTAATTATAAAGATTAGCAAGTAACAAAACTAGCTGTTACACTGGCTGTTGTATAGACTATAAATATATAACATATCTACACCCCTAAAAGACCCATTAATAGCCATTACACAAGCATGAACATTAAAAAAAGTGAAATAGGAAGTGCCTTGATCACTAAATGATGGAATAGAAGGAATTAAGAAAAACCCATAATAGATCACTAAATCATAAATATGTACAATCACTTGTGTAAGTTAATTTAAAATGAAAGTCTTAATTTATGCCTAGGATATGTACTGGAAGGCTGAAAAAACCTAAAAAGAAGTGAAACTTGCTGACATCCTTAACCCAGACATTTTGCATCACAGATGACTATTTCTCCCTCCAAGAGTAATTTCTGGATATTTTTACATTTTCATTTACCTATTGGCAACATTAGAGTTCCTATATACACCACTATTCAAATACTTGTCCAAATGGGGTCTGTTATAACTGCCAGCTGTCACTAAAGGGGAGATTTCAGTTCAAACTGCCAGTTCTCATTTTTGGAGCTATTACCACACTTGCAGCCAACATGTGATTTCCATGCCTGTTACACCACAGTAAACCTACAGTATTACTAAAAAACAAAATAAAAGCAAAAAGAGGAAAGCAGCAGGTAACCTGATCCTTTTTTTTCAGCTCTTCCACCTGCCGGAGCTGCTCTGAGGTGAGCACAATTTCCATCCTCTGCATGTCCCTCATCAGCAGCCTCTGGGACTCCAGGAACTGGTCATTGGCTTTCTGCCACGTGTGTTTCAGCTGGTTGTGCTGCTGCCTCTCTTGCTCTAGGAGATGGCAAACTATGCAAGCAGAGAAAAAATTCTTCTGAACCACAAGTGTTTAAATATCTTTTCCAAAGAGAAGCATTTTCAGGAATAAAAGTAATTATTGGTCTAATTAAGAACAGTCAGGCTTTGTTCAACAACTATTTAGGTTAATAATGTCTTATTTCAAACAACATTTTCTTAATTTCCAAACTCGGCTTGTGATTAGGGACTTATTACTGACAGTTCAAGATTTCCCAGGGAGAAGACTAATGCCTCAACTTCATTCATGAATTCTAACAGTTTTGGGGTTTTTTAGAGCTGGGTTCAGAAAACTGTCTTCTACATCCCTATTTACTTCAGCAGCAGGTCCTGGTTTCCACTCCTCAGCAGTGACCCTGGGCTGTGGTGCCCTACAGGGACATTTCCACACTCAGCACTGCCACACCTCAGGGAGCCAGGTCCATACATTATGGAAATAATGCTCACAATTATGCACAAATACAATATACACCTAAAATCACTTCAGCAAGAATGAAGCTTGCAATGCTTTAAAAACTTAGCAGATATTCAACAATAAGCCTTGAGGAAATGAATGACTCTGCTGTTTTCCTGACATGAGGGAATTCCACATTCCATTCTTCTGCAAACATTTTATGGCCTTTCACATTTACAACTCCTGCTTCCCTCTGGCAATTTGTTTTCTCCAAGTTCAAGTAAGAAATGATAAAAGAGTTCACAGTTCCACTGGGTTTTGCATCCTCAGTGGAGAGAGTCAAAGGATTATAGTTAGGTGGGTACCTTCATGCAGCTCCTTCCTCAACTTCTCTGCATCTTCTTGCAGGACTGATTTTTGTGTGTTGAGAACAGCCACGTACATCTCCAAGTCTGTCCTACATGACTTCTCAGCTTCTAAATAATGGTTCAGTTCTTTAACCTGAATAAAAAATAACCAGCTCAGTGGGTGAACACTCTCAGACATTTCCTTCTTGTTAGAAGTTATAGTGCTGGCTGTTCAGGTAATGTACAGGTGCTGAAGGACCAGTTTATTTGCAGAAATCCCAAATATTCAACTACCAGTGTGTAAGCAGGGCTTGTATTTACTTGTGAATGAGTTACTCATTAAAATTCTAAGTCAAACCTGTCAGTGTATCACAGTTATAGCAGCTGGATCACAACAGCAGCACTGAGCACAGATGGTGAAAAGGGAAATATCTCAGGAAAGCAGACAGTGAAGTAATCAGTGGTGATAGGCAGGATCTTATCAGCTGATAAATGCTGATAAGCCAAGAACTCCTTAGTTCCAAACAGAGTAATCATAGTAGTCAGAAAAAAATTAAACAGGCAAGCTTGAAGTAAGCCTAAGAAGAGAGAAAACTTGAGGACAGACAAGAAAAGAAACTTTCCAACTCACGAAAGACTGTTGCAAAAACAAAGGAAAATCTATCAACAAAAAGCAATTCAAGCAAAAAGCAAAATCAAGAAATACTGAAGAAATAGATGTGGATTTTTTTCTTTCTTTTTTTTTTTTTTTTAATAGCAGAAATCAGTGTCCTGCAGAATCACCAGTCAAAACCTTGTAAGACAGGGGTACATAAACATCTGTCAGACGTGATACCTGGAGAATTGGATTCCATTTTGGAACAAGGAACAAATGGAAAGATTTCTTTATGGCACTATTCAGTTTTACAGTTTGCTGAGTCAGAAAATCACAGGAGGTTTTATCTTAGAGAAAACCAAAGCCTCCAGGCAATTCCTAAGTGGCTGCAGAGAGCTGCTGCTCATCTCCCTCAGCACAGCACGGGACACACCAACGCCAAGCCAGGGCTCAGGACAGCCTTGGGCTGTGACTGCCACTGATGCTGGGCACAGCTTTCCTGCCCTAGGACACCAAACCTTCCATCTGCTGCCCTTTAAGCCTTTCAAATGGGAAAGTCTGACTTCGTGGCTCCAAGTGTGCCAATAACCCAGAGGCCAGGTGGCTGGGAGAAGAGCAAAGCAGGTATTTTTTAGAGCTTCTTCTATTATTAGTAGATCTGGAGCTGTGCAATTTATTCTAAACCCAGATCTCACACACACACAGTGAAACTCTCAAAACTAAAAGATGCAAAAATATATTTAGGCCAAACATGATATTTGAGCTCCAGAAGAATTTCCCAAGACACCTTTTTCTCTCTTATAAAATTTGACTTGTCTGCATCAAACTAGCATGCTGCAAGACATAAATCAGGATCCAGTTAGAGCTCCACCTCACCTCTGATGCTGCTTTTATTTTTTCTTCAGCTTCTGCCAGTTTCTCCTTTAGGGCTGCAATCTCTTTCTCCATGGGCATCACAACCGAGCGCAGCTTCTCGGCATCTTCCTGAGCCTGAAGTTCAGACAATAAATTGTAATGCATCATCAGAATTTTCACACCAGTTCCCACTGCTGGAGACATTTGGAGAAAATTTCTACATCAACAAAAAAAAGCTGACTAAACTTCCACTTTCAATGTTCATCTTACTGCTATTTATTTGGTTCAGCAGCCATCTCTGTGACAATGGGCTGATATTAGTCCATTTAACAGAAGGCAACTAAACTTTAAATCTATGTATGGGTTAAGCCACAAGTATCTGTTTTAAAAGAGAATGTTAGCAAATCTATCCCTCTTGATGCTTGGGAGAAAATGTATGGATCAAGCATTTAAAACAATGTGCACTTTATTAAAGGCCTAACTGTCCCACAACCTGCTGCCACACAGCACATATGAAAAAACCCAAAAGAAGTGCATGATGAGGTACTGATCATGCAGTTACTTACTCAAAAAGTTAAAAGCAAATGGAGCTGCACAGTAATGCCTAGTGTAGCTCAGTTCTCTTCTAGAAGATCATTTTTCAACTTTACATTACTACTGATGCAGCATCAGGTTTTGGTGTTACTGTACTGAATATTTCTAACTATATATAGACAATTTATCCCATGATTTCTTTCAAAAAGCAGTTCTGAGAAGATCAAAGAGCAGCAGAATTAGAGGACCGTTTCAAGGAAAGGGGGGGGAAAAAAAGGGGAAAACTGGTAAAAATAGCAAGAATTAAGATGAGAAATAGCATTCAGGGTTCAAAAGCAGAACTGCACATTAATGTGTGGCCTTGACATCCCCATTTCTTAAATGCTCTGCCTTTCCTTCAGGGATGCACTGCAGACTTTCCAAGTGAAAGGAGCAGCTCCCACAGACTCCCCAGGAGCCAGCAGAACACTCAAATACTTGCTGCAGTGAAACTCTCCAAGGCACAGAGAATTCCAGCATTCTAATTTGGGCTGGCTTTGTGCATCAGGCTCAGAAAGCTCAGCTGTTCTCTGCCTTCTACTGGAAGAACTCAGCAGGGGAGGAGGGCAGGGAGCTGTGCCCCAAAGCTGGAGTTTCAAAGGATGGCACCTTTCATAAGCTCATCAGCAAAGACAGACAGTAAATGATAACACTCATGTCTGGTTTTGAAACTAGACTAGAATGCAGGTTTTAGAGGTTACTCATTTGACTTTCAATTTCTGGTGAGCTTATTGACAACTGTACTCTGAGCAAGACTTTCAGGAAGAGAAATAGAAAATATTTTTAGTCACTGAAGTTTTCTAACTTAAAATTAATCAACAAAATAAAATGTTATTGCAATACCTGTCAATTATATAAGCACTACAATTTTAAAGCTTTACAGAAAATTCTGAACACAACACTAAATTAAATGTCTTTACATTTAATTTATTTCAGCTACATTTGTCACTGCTGAAGTACCAATAAAAGCTGTGAGGAAAGCAAGGGATGTCACTTGGCAGTGAATTCAATACCAGGGACATGTGACTGTCACACACACCCAGACCCTGGTGCTTGCAGCCAGCAACTCAACAGTCACATTTTTCAAACAAATGGGAGCAGGAGTTCCACTTCAGGCATTGCTTTATATTTCATTTATCATATCAGTTCTATTCATTTAATGGAATGAATTGAACATTCTTTTCTAATTATTCAGGATAACTGCAGCAATATTTCACTGCCAGCCTGGTTTCACATGGCTCACCACAGAATACAGAGCAACAAATGTGCCTGTGTAGGAACCAAGCAGTTCAGAGAAACAGTCAGAAAGTTCTCTGAAAGCAAAACCAGACTGTGAACAACTGGAAAGACAAAACTGTATCACATTTCACATACAGAAAAATTACTCCAGCTTTTACTGCTTGGTAAACAGAGCTGAAGTTTGACACTGTGGTTGCAACATATTGTAAGGATCCCTATTAAAGGTCAGTGTGATCTTGAGCTAAACACTCCAAACAGCCTCTCTCTGCTATCAAAAGGAGTGCTGGGCCCTGGGTCTGCTTCTGGACATAAAGCAGAATTACTGAGACTCCAAAAATCGAGGTTAAAGCTCCACTCAACCTTTTATTAAAAGGAGAATATCTGTAGTGTTGAAAAATGCCACTTAAAGATACTGTCACATGTGGCAAGAGGTGCCACAGCACCAAATTTCCTGTGCTAAGAGGTGTTATTCAGACTCTTCCAGAGGTGTGATCCTTAAAATGTTTATTTCCTTTTAACTTTTTATTAAACTTAACTTGGCTGTCAACTGCCACAGTATTAAATGTGATCAGCTCATCTTTACTCATTCCTTAACCAAAAACCAAGCACCCAAACCACTTCTGCCCCAGCCAAACCTGCTTCCCCCAGCACAGGGGCTGCAGAACACACTGAGGGACCTGCAGACCACAGCAGGAAAATGACTCCATGGAGAGATAATGCTAAAAATGAGTCCAAGTCATTTTCAGAGGAACAAATATCTGACTGGAGAAATCCCAGGTAACATTATACCTCTGTTCCTTAAAAATGAGACAAGTGGAAAACACACAGATACAATTTGAAGATTTTTCTTTAAAGTAGGACTAAACCATTTAAAACTCCTCTAAATTTATCCCACTGTTCTTCACCATTACCAACAAAAATAGCTTACTGTATATCAGATTTTATGGCCAACTCTGTCACAGAAATCTGATTACTCTTCCTTTCCAATTTCCCCTCTCCTGACTAATAAGCACAATTCCTAACAGGAGTTTTGTACTTTCCTGCTCTCTCTGTACACAAAATACCTGCTCTGCAGACTTCTGTTACTGAGTTTGACACAACTGTGCTGAGAAGAGTATTTATATTCATCACAGCTCCAACAGCAAAACAGATCCTTTCCTGAACAGAAAATGAGGTCTGACTTAAATAAAATAAAATAAAAAAAAAGCCAAGTCATATTTTGCCAGTGGCCAAAGTTTGGGGACAGCTCATCCCCATGTCCAGAATCAGCCCAGTCATTCCCCAGCAGGGAAGTACATGCTGCTGTGATAGATTGATTGCTTTTAGCTGCTGTGAAAACACAAAAAATCCAGACCTATCTGGTACTACAACCCAACAGGAAAACAGATTTTTATAAATCACTGCCAAGTTTTCTGAAAGATTAATCACTAGGTGAGCATGTTAATCATTAGGTCAAGGTATGCACCTTTTTTGAGCTGGGAAGGGAGATTAAGAAGACAAATTTACAAGGTTTTCTTAGAAAATGATTTCTTAGAAATCATTGGTTTATGATACAAAAATCACAGAACAGACAAATTCTCTACAGAAATCAGCAATTTGCAACCTGAAATGTATTTACATGGAGAAGCAAACAAGAGCATGTGCTCCACCAGACAAGCTCTTTCTGACAAAAGAACAAATAAAGATGGAGTATAGGCATTGCTGGCTGCAAATGCCATTTTGCATGAGGAATTGATCACAAGTCTTCAAATAACACATCCCAAGTGATCAAGAAAGTTCCTCTTTTCACACTGGCTGCTGACACATGAATATTCATTATTTTGCTGCCCAAGCAAACCTTTTTATGGGCTTGGGATTTGCTTGTTTGTTTTTAGGTAAAATTGAACGTCCTCTTCCTAATTTTGATCTAATTCTTAGTCTCCTTGAGGAAAAACCTCACAGGTTTAATAATAACAAAGAAGATTAGAACCTCATGCAAAGCAGTTTAAGCAATTATTTCAAGCTGCACTCTGAAAACCAGATTTCCCCCTCCCCCTACTATTACATAAGGTACATGTTCCTCTGCTTTACAGGCCTAGAAAGCTTTCCAAACTCCTGTTCCCAGAGATTAATAAACTGATCACCTTTTCCTTTAGGGATATTTAATTCCCTTTTAAAGGACTATAGTTGAAAATGCTATTTATCTGCTAAGCTGAACTTCTCTGCTAAAGCCACTGAGTTTAGGTGAGCTGTGCTGTCATGTCAGCAGCTTGCAATTTCAACTTACACAATCTGTAATTTCAGATTAAAAATATGAATCAGTTGAGAGAGATTATTCTCTGGAAGTGCTTCTTGGCAGGTAGTTGGGAATGCAATGCCAGGGCTTTTACACTGTGAACTCTGCATCCTCTGGGTTGTTTCTACAAGACTCACTGATCCAACTTTGAACCTCCATTCAGCTTCAACCAAAGTATTTTTGTCCTTAATAAGACTGAAACCTTTTCTTAAAAACAGTAAATGTCTTACAGTTGCAGTGGGATTAGAAGAGGCTTTACCCTGACTCTTACCTTTGAAATCAGGGCTCCATGAAGAGCAGTCCCACAGCAATAAATCAACTACAACTACCAATAGTCAGGAACCTCTTCCTAGGTCTCAGAAAAAGTATTCCATTTTGCAACACTAACACTGATTGCTTGCTACAACACAGTAAAAATAGCTAAAATGTTTCTCATGTGGAATGTTTGTGTCATTCCATACTGCATTTCTTCTGCAGACAGCAAGCAGGAACAGGGACAGGTAGTAATGTGGCAGATTAGAAGATGTTAACCTACTTTATTGAATTTCAGTCACTACTTTAAATTTGTGTTAGAACACCTTGAAGACTAAGGTAAGCCTGCTGAGATGAGAAATTCATGAAAATGCAAGTTATTACAATAAGATACACAAAGATTTTTATAATGCACTGATCTATTATGACATGTTCAATTTCCTTCCTGTCTGAAACACATTAAATTTTCAACCTCAACAAAAAATAAAAAGAAAATTCAACCTCAAGACAAGGCAGCTCAATCTACTTCATCTATGAAGTTTTCTTAGTGTCAGATCTTTGTACAACTACAACAACATCTGTCCAAACTCCAGAGCAATTATTTTTCATCATCTAGAGCCTGTTGTTTTGTGAAGCAAGATTCTGTACTTCATAGGGAGGCAGCAGAACTGTGATGCACAAACATGGCTTACTTTAGAGAAAGAGGAAAGACATCTTAGATACTCTGAAGTTTTAATGGGCACTTTAAGTTTTTAAGAGCTGGAAAAAGAAGCAAAAGTAAAGAGGTGTAAAGCAAACTTTATACTGCAGTTTACTGTCAGGCCAGAAAAATCTAAAGGTGGTTTTACTTGCACTCATTTGACATCATGACAAGTGCCTTGACAAGGCTGCCTGTTTTTACAAGCTGAAGGCTAAACTTTACCATCTTCTCAGGTGCAATTCTCTCACTGAATGCACATAATTAGGAACAAAGCTTTTAGGGCTTTAAATGGATTAGGTCATGATGACTTCCATGAACAAAGGCTGGCAGCACCAGGCTGTGTGAACTGCTGAGGAATTACAGCAGCCATAGGAATGAACCCCTGCCTGACCCCACGGGCCTATCCTCAAACAGAAACTGAGGAACTCCTTTCCAATGTACCTTTTTCATTTCATTTTCTAGGTTTTCCTCCTCCTGGCCTTCAGACAGTCTCCTCCTCAGCTCTGCAATTTCCCTCTCCATGTTCTCTCGGTACTGGTTCCACTGAGCTCGCTCCTGCTCCATCCTGTGGTGATACTGCAGCTCATAGTCACGGACAGTCTCTAGAAAACAGCATTTTCAAAACTTCTTTTCAATGTAAGTTAAAGAACAGGGCTTTAGGAAGTCCATCTCCAACCACTCAAAGATTTACTATAATTAATCAAAACTAGGACAACTCTCCTTTCCCTCAGACTCCTGCCCCAAAACCCAAATACATAAGTAAAAGAACTGAAACTAAATTTCAATTAGTACCATCAACAGAACAGAGAGAAACAATTCCCAGGAACTGTGCAATTCCTAATTTCAAGGTAATGTACATGACTAATATCCTACTTAGCAGCACACAAGTACATCATCCAAACAAATCAAACAAATGACTAGAGCCCTTAAAAGGTACTCCAAAATGCAAAGAAATTCAAACTTCTCACACAGCTTCCATTTCCTCAGGATTCACACCACCCCTCTCAGCTCAGGAGCTGCCTGTTTACACAGGGACAGCAGCTGGCACAGCTGAGCCTTAATCTAGGCTCATGTATCTGTGTAGATCATAAATAAACAGACATTTGTGTACTCAATATACATGAAGGTTTGTCTGTTCTGGGTGAAAAGCACAATGAGGTGATGGAAAAACTGCCCACAGCTGACAGGCTCTAGGCTCAGGATAGTGTGATCCTGTCTGTGAACCTTTAAGAAAACACATTTGTGGCAATAGTCTATTCCCAGTTCATATCCTTGTGTTCATTTCCTTTGTCTCGGAAATGTCAACAGCTGTGCAATGTGCAAATATAACAAGGAATAGATGAGAACTATCTGAAAAAAACCACCCAGGACTGAGAGAGCAGCATGTGCAGTCAATACCCTGGGGGAAGGCCCATGTGAGTACTGGAGGGACACTTGACTGTGTGAGAGCAGAACTGTGTTCACACAGAAAGGAAAAAAGAGAATCATGCTGGCAGCTTAAAGCTGTTTGCAGACTTGTCAAATTACAGACATCATACTTATCTTTGTGGAAGGATGAAGGATCACATTCATAGTCCCTCAAAAATGCTTTGCATATACATGAGGTTCCCATGGCCATGAATTCTAAATTCTGTCCTCAAACTGACAATAAAAAACCCATCAAGCTCCCTTTCACAACCCTGAGAACTACACTTCATCCAGCCCTTCTGCAGCTTTCCCGAGCCATAACAATTACCCATACTCTGAGGAAGAGCAGGCACAAATCCTTATAAAAATCAGGGTGGCTGATCTCAGCACAGCTTGCCTGGTTGTTACCTTTCATGATGGCCTGGAGGGAAGCCACTTCTTCTTGCCACTGCCTCTTGACCTCATCGATGGCCTCCTGCTTGGTGGTCTCTGACACTGTGGCGATGGCCTTGATGTTCTCCATCTCGGCGTGGGCCTCCATCAGCTGCGTGCGCAGCTGGCCCAGGTCATCCTGGGCTGCCTGCAGCACTGCATTCTGCCTCTTCAGGTCCTCTGAAAGGAGCATTGCATACATTTAGCTGCATTCAGGAGTTCAACCTGAAGTGTAGCCCCAGTTGCTATGGCAAAGAGCAGAAGGGAGTGAAGGAAGCACTGGTATTAAAACATCTACCTGTAATGACTGAACAAATGTTGGCAGGTGTCTTCAGGGAATGCTTTTTCTTGACTTTGCTTGCCCTTGCCTTTTATTAAAGAAGCATCTTATGGATGGAGACACAAAGCAGACACTAGATATAACTAGGATCAATATACCTGATGAAAGTGAACTGTGCTTTTCATCAGTTCTTATTATTTAACTCATTCTGGTAATGAATCTGGAAAAGGCATGAACAGACTGGAAAACAGTTTCACCCCCATTTCTGGGACCAACTTGGTTCTCAATTTGGAGGGAACACTTCATATTTCTTGAACAGAAACACTCTGTGACCACTTTGCAGAGACCAAACAAGAAGAATATGCAGCCTAATTTCCTCTTTACCAAAGACTTTGGTAAAACTGAGCTTCTACAAATAAAAGGGATACATTCAACGGAACAGCTATGACTTCTCTAATTGTTGCAAATATAAACAGAAATTAAACTAACTTCATATTATCCTCCTGAATTCTCAGCTATTCTGAAATAGACAGTTCTGGAAGACATATATTATATAATTAATTCCAAAAGCACTAATACAAAATATGTGTTTTATGCCCATATAGCCTGCTTCAATGGCAATCCCTTTTAGCAGAAACATCTGGCCAGCACACAACCAACACCAAGCTATATCCATGTATTTCCCTCAGGGCCAAAAAGCTGAATCAATCCTGGTGCTCTCATCCTGATAGAGAATATGGAACCCAGAGCTAATCAAATACTTAAAAGGACATTAATCCTTGTGTAAAAAAAAACAAGACTCTGTAGCATTAATATTCTCCATTTTCAAATGACAGTATTAAAGATGGGTCTAAACAGCTCCAATGAACATTTAGGAGAGGGTCTTGGAGACAGGGGGAAAACCTTTGGTGGGTGTAAACAAAAGAAAAGTAATTACTTGTATATTCTCCTCTGGTGTCCTTTCACTTCAGTAGCTGTGAAAGTTGGGGTGTTTTTTTCTTCCCCTATCACAATTTATTTTGTATTCTTTGACTGTACCAAAATGGGAGAATTATTGCTGATATCATCAGTAGTGTCTTGTATCTTAAACTTCCTTTCATCCAGCCTTAGAAACACAAGGAAATAGGCTTGCTGTATGATCCAATCTTCATTATGCCTTTGTATTTCTGCTCTCATAAGCTTATACAGCAGCCACAGTCTTAATGCATTGTGTTTTGGCTCTGCTTTCATATGTTAAAGACAGGAAAATCATCAGAATTAGATAAATCAATCTGGCTCACAGAACAGCTATCTCTACTCTCTGATCCTTCATCAGATATTTGAGCTCATATGATTTAAATTTTCCTATAAATTGTGTTATTGAAATAGATGCCCTTGGCTGGTATTAAAACTTTTATAAGGTTTGCCTGCTTACAGCCTACCTCAGATGGAAATTTAAGACAAATAAATGCTACATTAAAAAAAAGGCCACAGAGTAGAAAAAGCACAGCACCCAGGCTATGTCTTCCCATTTACCAGGTCAGCTTCTGCTCAGAGAGCACACTCTGAATTCAGGAAATTAGTATTAAAACTCACTAGTGGTATTTCTGCATGGACATCAAGTTGTTTTAGGTCCTTTCCATAAAGCAAATCTTTAAATTTAATTCTAAAGTTCATTCTAGAATGCTCAATAGTCACCTATTGAATCTCTTACATTCTTATTATAACTGTCTAAAAGACTATGCTCCGTACAGGGATTATTTGAAGATGAAGTTCAATAAATTTTAGAATAATTCAGAGAACTAAGAACTTACCTTCCTTAGCCAGGTATAACTCCTTAAATTTTGCTCTCTTTTGATTAAATTCTTGCTCAAGTTGCTGCTTTGTGCGCAGAAATTCTGCATTGACCTTTTCCAATTCTGCTACCCGTTGTAGAAGAGCATCTAAAAATAAAGCAGAAGATAAGGTACGTCACTAACAGTTACCCAGACATCCCATTCTGCAAGGCTGAGGTTTGGGGCTTACTCCTTTTAAAATATCTTTACTTATTAGCTCTGCTCCATGATAATGAGGAAAACTAGCCAGTCCTGTAAGGAACAAAGGAAGGTAGGTTTTCTTTAAACTGTAACACCAGATTTTAATTAAAGATCTCTAGGGAACTAGAGGGAATGTGGCAGGGAGTTCTGCAGAACACAATCTTCCAAAGAAAGCCACAATTTGGTACATACAATGAAGGAAGAAATAGAAATAATTCTGGTGATGGTTTTTTCCCCTGGGAAGTGTGTGAGGGCTGAGCAATAAAGCACCAAGTGCTCAGAGGCTGAGGTCAAAGAAAGCAAAGTGACAGCAGCTCAGCTAACAGCCATGAAAGGGCAAAGCACAGGAAAGAAACCCTGTGAGCTCAAAATCAGGTGCCATCATCAATCCAGTCCTGCATGTTAACCAAAGGATGAACCAGATTACATCTGGAGAAGTTTGCCAGAAGATGACCACAACCTACAGAGAATTAATTGATTGTAAGATCAAACTCTCCTCATTTCCAGCAGGTGAAAATCCTCAAGGGGGCACATACATCACTGTTTTCCATAATTTACCACATCAGCCCTTCATCTGGTGGTACAACAAAAGAAGGAAGAGTAGGAAGCCTACAAAGATTGTTATAACATGCTTATTATTGAAAAAAACCCAATATTATACCATTTTATGATGCTATAAAGACCCCCTACAACCACCAACCTATCTGCATGGGCAATATCAACTTCTTTGCACCTCAAGTTCTGCTCTAGGTGGCAGTTTCACCTTGCACACCTCAGAATTCAAATATGAAATAGAAAAGACTGATGAATCAGAACAAAACACATCTCCCTGCTGCAATGCACTGGGGAAAAAAATGTTCTTCTATATGAGTCTCTGTGTGTTCTGCAAAAGCATTTTGTGGGCATGTTCCAACTCTGCTGTGCAAAGTGAATCACTTCAGCTACAGCCTCTATATAGCACAGACTAGATACACAAAATATTGATCCATCAGAGGTGTTTGTGTATCCCATCCAACACTTCCCACCACATTCAAGTAGTGAAAACACTCCAAAGGCTACACAACTTCAGCATCAAACATGCAGGCTCACAAACAGCTGGAGTCAGCTCTCAGTGTAAAACACTGGCTGGGCAATGCCATTGAGATGGGGTCAGTTATTTTTGGTACCAGATGACGTAGAGTAAGAGCAGACACAAACAAAAGGAGCTTCTAAGAGCACAGGTATGTTTTACTGATTGCTGGTTATAAGAGCTTATGGTGTTACAAAATATAGCACCTAATCTCTTCAGCTCTGTACTGAATAAAAGAGAAATGCAGATACAGGACTGATGAAATTTTAATGTCGCTTTTTAAAAAAAATCCTAATTTTGGGGGGGTTTTAATCACTTTAAATACAAACACATAGGTTTTTATGGCCAGCAGAGAGGGGGGTTAGTTCCTTATGTGATAGATCCTTATGTGGATAGTTCAAAACCAACTGCACAGGAGTGTTCTCCAGAAAATGAAAGGAATCTGCAGCAAAGACATTGAGAGCAAAGCTTCAAGTGAGTTCAGAGAGAGTCTGGATCAAAACCAGGGATGAAACACCGTGGAACCAGGTCTGGGTAGGAAAAACGCTTCCCAAGGTTAAAGGGTTGCCTTTGATCTCTTGCTGAAGTCTTGCAAAGGGAAGGGGTTTGCCTGTGCTTCCACTCCCCACAGTCCTGTGCAGAGCCTGCAGCCACTGTGGCACCTCCTGCTGCACCATCCCACCGAGAGCTGTGCTGGCCCCAAGGAGCTGGGCTTGAGCTCAGCTTCAGCTCCTCAAGGGAAACTCCTGCAGGCACTAGAGCCTCAGGGAGCTGGGTGCCAGCGCCAGCCAGGCAGCTCTGCATCCACAGGTACCACCCTGCAGCCTCCAGCACACATTCCAGCTCAACAAGGAGGAATCTGGACATCATTCATCTTGCACACACTCTTTTGAAGACCACACAAATAAACTGTTTCATTCTACAGTTAGTAATCCTGAAAGTTAAATCAACTGTAGACTCAACTCTCCTGCCCTCAAAGATGACTCGAGCATTTCTTGTTTACTTAATTCCCTTTCCATCTTCCTTCAGCAGAGAGACAGCAGCAGCTGTGCTGCTGCTCCCATCAGAAAGTGCAAAGCAACCAAGCTGTCCTTCTTCTGAAGGTGTGAGCTGCCTCTGCTGAGGTTGGAAGGGCAAGAGGACACCCCAAGAGCAGAATGTTCAAGTGCTTTCAGCTGGGGAAACAACAGACTCATCCTTTTGAAATCTTCCTGCCCAAACAGAAAGAGGGAAGGCAGAGTCACCAAGAAGGAAATGAAATTTAAATATTTACATTTTTTACAGTATTCTCCCCTCTCTACAGCCTGGCAGTTATGTCTAAAAAGTAATAAATAAATAACTAAATAATCAACCCCCTCCACAACTGAGCTCTGGCAGCTGTCAGGGCCAGCTGCAGGCATTCAAAATAAAAAGCACTTTAAGATCTCAACTGCAGGTCATCCATCACTGCAACTGTGCAGTAACATTGTTCTTTCAATTCTATACTAAGTTTAAAGTGGTTTTACCACCTGTGCTACATATACAGCTCAGGACAGACCTCAGCACATCCCCACTGCAGTGAGACAAGGCACAAACTTGAGGACAACGGGCTTTATAGGTCAGCATCAATCCCCTCAAATGCACCTGCATTAGAAGTAAAAGTGAAATAAAGTTTATTTTCTGAGACACCCTATCAACTACCACCTTTCTTTTAAGTGATTAGGTTTACAAAGAAATTATTTTCTTCTTCAGAGGTACAATTTCTACAAAAGCCATATAGTCACTTCCCAAAACACAAGTGTGATCCCAAGCCCCAGGCACAGGTACCCTCGGGCTCCATGGCACAGATTAGAGCCCACCTGGACATGCACTGGAGTCAATGGCAGCAAATGGGCTCATCCATAGATTTCCAATTAGGCCTTTGTTATTTATCACTTAATTCGCACTCTGAATTTAGGTCCAACTCACCCCAGGCTTATAAGAGAGCTGAAAAAGAAAACTTAAATTGCTATCAACTTAAAGGCAGCCCCAAAGCAAGCCATCTATTTACAGGCAGCACTGCCTGGGCTGCCATCAATGTTTAACCAGGTACGGGGCAGAGCAAACACAGCCGAGATGGGCAGCGCTGCTGGAGCCCTGCCTGCTGCCACCGGAGCCAGGGGCAGCACCGGCACAGAACACTCTGGATTTCCTCACAGAACGCTCTGGATTTCCTCACAGAAGACCTAATTCCCTATTTAGGGCCCAAAGTCATCAAGAAATAAACAAAAACCCTAAAGAAACCCCCAAAAATCCTATCGATTTCTTAGCTTTGGAAATAGCACTGAGAAAACTTTAAATTAAAATTGATAGCCAAACTAAAAAAATCCTAACAAGAAATCCTTCTGGCCAACAATTTAAAATAGTGGTTTTTCACAGATTATTAGGCTAAAAATGCTACAGATGACAACATTATAGATGCCAATTAAATCAGTAACTTTATTTCTAGCTAGCAACACAGATTTTGCAGAGACACTCAGGTCAGACACAGGGATCCCCATCTCCTGTGGAGCACTGACATTACAGCAAAGCACAGTGAATGTCATCAGGTGCCTTAACCAGGGAGAAGAACTCAAAAGAAGGGCAGCAAAATCCATTTCAGAGCAGACTCATTGATTTGCAGGAGAACCATGAAACTGCTGCAATACATGAAGAGAAACTCTAGTGGAAAAAGCGACAGCTTTCTCTTAACCCACTGCACAGCAAAATTCCAATTCTAGGAAAACACAGGAAAAACAGACATTTCTTACTGACTAGTTATTTATATGCTGTTCCACAGATCAGCTCCAAAAAGAGTTGGATTTTATTTATGACAGTTTCCAGTTACACAAACATGTAGCGATCGTTCCAGAACTAAGACAGACAAAGCTGATTATCAATAAGACTATTTTTGAGTACCAGGTCTATTTATAAAATTAATGCCATAGAGCTTTCTGCTTGATATTTAAAGAGTCAAACATGAGATCAAGAGTCCAGTCCAACATAGCTGAAATATGAAAACAGAGCAGAAAAAACCTACATGTACAACCAACTTTTTGGATACAAAAAAATACATCGTTTCTGTCATTTTCTACAATTCTTTTGTTGGTATCATTGCTTGAGACAGAAGTATGGAAAATACTTATTTCTATGAGTATGAGTTTCTACTATAACTTTCTACTATTTTCTATGAGCACTAATTTTCATCCATCATGACATCATTCTGGAGCCACAATTATGCTACTTCATAAACTTTTAATCTAGGTCTGCCACCAGACCTTTCATATGGACTGCTAAAAGCTTTTCTTTATTGTACTCAAACAGGATTTGATGAAAAAAGACAACCAACCTCCCCCCGAGTCTTACAATAAACCCCAATTTAAACCACATAAACCCCCAATAAACCCCAGGTGTTTGCATGAGGCACTCAGGAGCAAAGGAACAGATAATGGTTCTTTGAACAAGCATGTTAAACAGAAGCAATTCCTGACTTATGACATGGGGCTGCTTTTTTTCAAGAAATGACTGCTCTTTTATACAGATATCCAACAGCAGCAGATCAAACTGGAGGGAAAAAAATAACCAGGAAGAAAAGAATTACTTGCTTTTCTCCAACTTGCACTTGCAAGCATCAAGCATTTTATTTACTGGGCCAAATGGCTCAAGCTCACTGGTCACACACTTTCCTTCTTTTATTTGAGGGCAGAGAATGACCCCGGACTTCTCACTTGCCACCTTCTTTTTCAGAGTGGCACCAAACACCTCCAATTGTCACAGGTCCCCTTTCAGAGCTTTAAACTGTGTGTGGTGAGAACTCAACCCCAGAAAGGGGAAAACCAGG